CCCTGTAAACCAGAGATTGTTCCCCATCCTCCCTACTCGCCAGACTTGGCCCTGTGATTTCACTTTGTTTCCCACACTGAAAATGAAACTGATGGGACGTTTTGAAAAGTGTCTGACATCCAAAGGGAATCACAAGTGGTACTCAACCGCATCAAGAAAAGTGTCTTCCACGGTGTTTTTTAAGGATAAAAAATTGATGTGATCGCTATGTGCATTTCCAAGGAGACTATTTTGAAGGAGATGGCAGTCAAAATTAAGTAAGTTAAGCCAGTATTTCTTTTTTGACCTAGTGTGGGAATTTTCCAATATCGCTTTGTATAATAACTTGCATGATGGGTGATATCTACTACATATCAAGTACCTGGTACTCCTGCTTCATATTCATATGACCAGAACAAAATTTCAATCATAAAATTAATTAACATGAGGTCTCACCTGGTTTCCCCAGTCCATCCATTTATATTGTAACGTGTCACAATATGTTTGGGCCTCATAACATGCCATGATGAATTACATACAACTTTCCAAAGCATCATTAATAATGATCATGTTATTTCTCAACTAATACTACACAACAAAGGCAATGGGTGCTCAAACAGAAAGATACAAGTATATGACAAGCCTAGAGAAATCACAGGAAAAGCAAAAGACAAATAGCCTGAACTGAAACACAGAAGGACTGGGAGCGTAAAAGACTTAGGATAAACATACTTCAGCGAACTGGACGAGTACAAGAATATTTATCTTAAACAGAACATAAACAATCCAAAGGATAACCAATGATTAGATGGCTTACTCAAGAGAGAGTATTGTAGTTTGAGAGATGGTGGTGTCAGTGCCTGCACATACCTCTCTTTTTTGGTAACACCAAGGCTTCCCTGCTTCTGGATGGATCTGAACCCACAAGAGACTTCTAGAATGACTGTGGCTATAAAATGTAGTTGTGAAAGTCCAGTATGGTCAGTCTTAGGGTGAGGCAACGGCAAGGAAACTGATAACCACAATGTAACCACAATTTCCAAGAACTGTTATCAGACTGAGTTGAACATGTGGAACTGAATGGAGCAGCGCAAACTGAAGAAATGGCAATGCAACTCATGGAAAACTTAGAAACTCGACTCCTAAGCAACCGAGCAAGCCAGTCTTCTCACAGTTGCATTGCTGCATAGTTTCCTAGTGTCAGCTGTTCTAATGTGCTTCTGTGACTCATTTGTTTCTTGTGATAGCATGAAAGGTTGATGAAGGGGCTAATTTTGTTTCTGTGCAGTTAACTCAGGAGGAGCCTGGTATGTATGACTAATGCCACACAGACTACACTAGGCAGAACATAATAGATTTGGCTTGGAAAAGAATTTCTCATGAGATGAAGGAGTCTGGATCCTGATTAAGTTCTTCTGAAACAATATAAGCCCCTGGGTTTAAATTGTTATGGAAGAATGGATGCACCTAATGTTTTCTTTTCCTAGAATTGCATTTAAGCATCCTGTTGCATTAATATATCAAATCTTATGCATATATTCCTGTCTCAAAAGCTACTTATTGTCTAGTCACCCTTCCACACTACATGTTTTGGCTGTATACGGCCATCAGGTGTCTTCTATCTTGCTAAAAGTGTTGCACTTATGTCAAAATTTTGTATTGCATGTGAACATGATGTTTCCTGATTAAAATAAATTGACCTCAAATTGATTAAATTCGCTCAGTGGGGGGGGTGGAGTCCAACTGGCTCCAGTCGGCATGGCGGCCAATGATTGGCCTACTGTAGCCTGCCCCAGCTAATTATGATGGAGAATTTGGTGGAATGAAGATTGGCAGGAGAAACCGAAGTACTCGGAGAAAACTTGCCCCAGCGCCACTTGACCTGACCAGGGATCGAACCCAGGCTGCCGCAGTGGGAAGCCAACAACTAACTGCTTGAGCTATGGCGTGGCCAAAATTGACCTTAATTAAAACAAATGAATTCACATTCCAATGTTTTCCTTATGGTTGTCATCCTCTCTTTTCACACCACCTCAACCACCACCATATTATGACAGGATCAATATTATTATCTGCCATTGCAGAAGATAAGTGTGTGAAAATAAAAATTACAACCACGCATTACGTTGGACAAGCAAAGATGATGTGAGCAACTAACCAAACATACATTTCCTTAGTGTAAGCCTGCTAATCTGGGAACCAGTTGCCTGCTAGAAATTGGTGACATTTCTCAGAAATTGTGGTTGCCAGTTTCCTTCATGTACCCTCCCCCTTCTCCTCAGTCTGGGCTTTGGGTATGTGTGAAGAACCAGATGAGAAGCAGTGTGTGCTGTGAATCACAAGTTACTTCAGTGCCAGATGTAAGAATATGACAGCAAAGTGATAGGACAGTGAAACAGTAATGGATATAAACAAGGTGCCATCAAGATTTCAAGTGGGTGCTGACAGTGAGATAACTGTTCCAAAACGTGATACACATTACAGTATTAAGAGTGGGAGAGACATCTGATCTGAGGCAGAAGACAAAAACGTTGCAAAACTAAGATATTCATAGTCTTAGAAGACATGCCAAAGGAACTCAAATTCACAAAAACAATGAAACTGCTGACTTACTCATGTCTTTGGTACTTAACAAATTTGTAAGTACAGACAAACACGTACCTGAAGTAAGTCAAACACTGTGGAACTGTGCTTTGGTCAGGATGAAATCCCATTTACATTTACTTGACTTTAGAACATCTGTCAAATGCTGCTATTTTTGATTATATAGAAAAATGATTTTAAATTGTATAGTTTTCAGATTTATCAGTTATGAAATAAAATTGGTTATCAGTACTTTCTGCATTCATTCCAACAAAAAAGGAAATGTGGCAGTTTTCCTACTGGAAATGTTTGTTGAATTTTATTCATTTGGAACTGTGGGAAGAAAATGCTGTGAATAATTAGATGTGCTGCAAAACAATTTTGGTGTGGCAGAGGGCAAGGAACCCTATACCAAAGATGATCAATGGGTGTAATATGTATGTCTCAGCTGTCTGCTGGTAAGTTGTATGCAACACCACAATTCCTGATTGCCAAGGTTTCTTCTTCCACAGCAACATACTCATACTGTTCTGCACAATGGTTTGATTTAAAAAGAAATCTTAGCAAGATAAAAGTAGGAACTTACAGAATAGAGCATCTGTCAACATTAAATAGACATTATGTAACACTAAAATTATATACATAACATAAATATATATATCTATATATATATAGATTAAACTCTTCCATCAATTCAAGCAAAACAGTAAATTCCATTATATTTATGTTTGTTTTGGTCCCAATAATTGAGCAGGTTCCCATTTGCATTATCCATAAAACTACACTAGATAATGCAGCAAGGGATAGCCTTATACTAACAATAAGGTTACGACAGAGCTAAAGGATGCTGAAACTGCCGCATTAACACCCCACATAGAGCAGTGGTTCCCAACTGCAGGTCAGGTGGGTAATACTTCCTAATGCACAAAGTGCCAAAAATTAAGCCTGAGATTCTGTAGGTATTCAATTTAGGGTAACAGATAAACAAGGCTGGGAACCACTAACAGATAGGGAAAACACTATGTTTGATTACCAAGTGCCAGATCACATACAGATTACTGATAATGGTCAGGCAGCCAAGAAGGATCTGATGCAGTGATTCTTTAAGTTGTGATTCAGCAGGGAGCTGTTGAGGAACTCCTTAAAACATAACTAGCAAACAGCAACACATAGCTTCACTTTATAAGTCAAAAAATTATACGACACATGAAATTCTGGATTCACATTTATGTAACTTCTTAAAAACACGGTTAAATGTTAATGATATGTATGCCTGTTCCCATGGATACTAATTTCAAACTTCCATGCTAATGTAAAAAAAGCTGCACTCTTTACTTTCAGTAATATTAATCACAATGAAAATGATTCCTGTTGATGGAACTCCAACCAAAACTGAAGGCTGTAGACATATGACACAAACATGGTAAACAAAACACAAAGATGAAAGATACTGAAACTGAACAGTTCTTCTGTACCATACTAAGGACTAATAAATGGAATATTTCAATTTTAAGATTCTCCAAATATATGCAGCTAGGGAGTTTCAAGATGTGTGTTTCATCCAACATTCCAGCACTGTCCCCAAATCTGCCAATTTAACAGAGGATCTCCATTAGAGAAAATCTTCCATAGAATATACCATAACCAGTGCTCTACAGCTTTGCTAGGAGTATAAATAAGTACCATGGCTACTCAACTAAGACAACTTCAGAACCAGGCTATAACTCAGATTTGTGACTACAAAAGTATGAATCTGCTGATTGGTATTACTTAAAGTGGAAAAATCTAGATGATGTCAGAGTTGCACAGTGGTGCATCTCTTATAGTTTAAAATATACATGAACTAATACAGCTATTGTGAATGAGGTGATGAACACATGCCAGTTCATCTCTTGACCACTGAAATAATAGTCAACCGTTCAAAAAGTATCCTACATATTGGAGCCAAATGATAAAAAACTTATAGTTGACAAGTGAATAAACATATTTTAAATCTGGAGAATTACAAAAATAAATATATAGAGACACATTTTGGAGAATGTTAATTTCTGAAGCCTTAAAGTGACTTGGCAGCAAAGTAAGATTTTTACAACATTCAAAAAACATTAAAAAACGTTTTATTATACAGATTAACAAATCAGAAGATTAAGTCTTTCACCACTAAATATTCCTTTCATAAATAAATTATCTCCGGGAAAAATCTCCTTCCCACTGTCTGACATTTTGAACAGGAGGGAGTTACCCCAATCACTATTCAAATAAGGCCCTGAATTCAATGGGCAGTAGAAATATATGAAGCTCATAAACTGCAAAATAACACCATGGGAACAGCATGTGCCCCTCCTCACATGCACACATATACACAGTAGGTCCCTTCAACTGGCATTGCAACTTCACAACATAGGAATCATTGCATACAAGTATCCTCAAAGAGATCATTTGTAGGACAAGATGAGTTCCTTTAAAATAACTCTGCTGTAACTCATAACTAGACAATACACATCATAAATGAAATCTATAGCAAAATATGTATCCATCAACTGCTTCATTTGATTCACATGGTGTTCTATCCTCTACACAACATGAAGAAAATGAAACAAAAAATGCACTTGGTGAATGGTGTAGTGTGTGCAAATGTTTAAAAGTTGCATCAAGTGAAATATTTTTGTACAAAAGAAACTGTATTAGGAAACTCCACAGGTTAAAACCTTTGGGCCAGGGACCAAATCTTTAAAAGATGCAACAAAAGTTTTACTGCTGCAAGATTCTGAACATTTTTTCCACTGAGCCCCATCTTCAAATGGTAAATAATGAACTGGCCCCATCAGCATGTCAGTTCTATAGAAGTGAACTGGACTGATGGCTTCTAATATGGACTATGGTTATAACACAAGCATGTCCACATCCACACTGGAACATAAAATGGGTGAAGAAGTGTTTGGAACCTCAATTTTGCTTTCCAACACACAGCAAAGTCTAATGTAATAAAACTTTACTAAATTAGTTAGTTGGATAAGGGAATATATTTGCTTTTCAGTCACTGGATATGTTCCTTTTTCCAACTAATCAATTTTATTACCACCCACAATGAAAACTGCATTTTCATTTTTTGGGTGACATCATATGGTCTGCCAATATTTTGGAGTAACTGTCAGTTCTATCTTCAGAGTGAATTAGTAACATAATATTTTCCATAGCTCACAGGTAGTTACTAACAATATACTACAGATTACTTTTAACAAATTTGTACTTGCAGTCTACATATATTTGGCTGACCTGTGTACATCTGATGATGATTCTTCATGGTCAAACACGTAGCCATATAATAAGAAAAAGAAAACAAAAAGACTTTTTTAATAAGTCTGTGAGAGTTAGTTTTATGACCTACTGGAGGTTTTCTGCCAGTCACTCTGCCTTGAAGATGCAGAATGTCAATTTCTCCAAAACATCCACAATACCATGCCATCAGGACCCTGTCCACCTCCAACACACACACATACAAACTTTAACAATCCATCATGAACTAATAAAACAAAGCTGTTCTTTTAAGATATGTTCAAATGATTGTTCCAACTGCAACTCAAAACCAGAAGAAGATATGGATGGCAAACTACAATAATTTATGTTAACATGGTAGAGTATCTGAATGAGATCTTGCCAGCACTGTCTACAGTGATATGGCTAAATTGCTTTGTAATATTTCTCAAAACAGCAGGACTTTACTTCACATGTTTCAATATGTAAGTACTGCCAAAAGGTAACTATACTTCTATCTAAAAAGTGCAATAAAAATAAATTTCAAGTTCATGAAATGAGCATTTTATCTGAAAATATGTTAATATAAGCAACAACTCTGGTTTCATATAAAATCTCAAGCATATTGTCATACTGCAGTTTCACATTTGCACACAACTACTCATAATGAATCACTGGACTTGGATGGGTAGTCTTCTGGTATTCTGAAGTTGCTCCTTGCAGTGTTACTGGAGTTTTCTTCCTTCCTCAACAGCAAATCCTAACAAGAGAGCAAATAACTTAAGTTTAGTGTTAAATGTACATTCTCAGGTTAGCAACTTGGTTGTGTAACATTTATTTTAATGCTTATAAGCAACATTCTAACTGTATGCAACAAATAATTTTAAAATTTTAAAGAAATAGGTTCTTGATTAAACTGAGAGATTAAGGAATGGGCTGTTGACATCCCCCTCCAAAATCATAATCCTTTCTGCCTTCTAGAACACTAAAAAGTTAGAATAAATCTTCTGTATCCTTGGTCATAACCATTAACAGTTCAATATCTCCCTTCCCCAAGTAATGAGATCAGAGAGGATAGTCTCCATCCTTACTTTAGACAGTGCACATTCTATTCAGAACTTTTGCTTCCTTACATAGGAATTAATTCATCTGAAACTACCAATGGTAATTAATATCAATACTACAGGAAATGTGTCTTGTCATAACAACAACAACAAACACTGTGGTAGCAGAATCCAAAGGTTCAAGCCCATCACCGGACACGCTTTTTCCTTTCAAGCTCACAAACACCTTTTAATATTGGAACTTCTTTCTTCAATGTGTGAAAATTGTGAATAATTTTCCTGGTTACACATCAATTGAATCCACCACCTCTGATTCTTTTACAACAGGATTTTTAAATTTTACCACAAGGCTTTGGTCTCTGCTAAAGCTTGCTATGCCAACTTCTCTGCTTGCTTAGCACACAGTGGTTTCTGATTTCCTGGCAACTGCAGCAGCACACTCTTTTGCATTTCAAGTTTATGCTTGAATTTTCTCACTCAGGAAGCCATACATTTTTGTTAATACTATCTCAGCCTTTACTATGACGGGTGTGGCTGGTTTTATTCTTTTAATTTGAAGAGGTCATCAGAAATATTTCCACCAAGGAAATATTTATAATTCCCTCCATGAAAAATTACTGTATATTTTCTACAGACATAACACAGGAAGTCAAGCCAACAGCATTACATGCTTACCATTTCAACCTGCTCCCTCCTCCAACATGACACTTTAACTTCACACACTTTCTGTTTTTAAATTTAAAAAATTTGGGCAGTACCGTTTACATCCAGAGACTGACTCCTCCATTCAAAGCACAGTGACATGCCAAGCCAAGGTATCAAGCGAATTACTCAATAACCACCTAACCACCACAACTATAAGAACTTTGATTTCAGGTTGGAACAGAGACCCCAGAATGTAGGATTTGAGGTTCTCATGGTGGTGGTTGTGAAGAGTTCTATCTTCTGGGATAAAACACCACGTAGTCCGCTGAAAGTCAACCAATGTTCCAAAGGAACATCTTGTCTCCATCTTCAGGGTTCAAGAGTATGCCTAACTTGCTGCCTACTTTCAACTTTCAACTTTATTTTCGTCCATAACTGAAGTGAATACAATTGGACATGTCAAGAAATAATAGCAAATACATCATATAAAATTTACAGTGATTTATCACTACAACATAGCAACTGTTGTAAGGAACATAATAAAAAATACAGAAGACCAAAAGAAAATGTCAGCAATACAAAACATGTAAACACAATATTAAAAATTGCAAACCAAAAACACAATCAACAAGCTAGTCATCAATCCAAAATTAGTTGAAAAACTCTTGAAGAGAAAAGAAAGTGCTGCACAGCAAATCATTTTTTACTTTCCTCTTAAAAACATTAAAATTTTTAACACTTTTCAATTCAGGGGGAAAGCAATTAAATATTTTAATTCCCATATTAATTACACTTTTACTGCAATGATCGACAATATTGTACATACAAATTATGTTTATGTATGGCATTGTAGCGGTGAAGGTCAGAATACTGAGTTGTATATATCTTATTCCTTATTATAAAACATAAAGTCTCAAAAATGTATATAATGAGGTAACAGTTAAAATCTTAAATTCTACAGGATACTCTATTATTAACACCTTTAATCACTCAAGCTACCCACCCCAAAAAATAATACCATATTTCAATACAGATTCAAACTTAATTTGTTTCATTCTGGTCTGTCACAATAACAATTACAAAGACAAAACAACTCCAACAAAATACCTTTCTTTTTTATATAACAAAGAAAATATTGTTACTGTTGTAGATTTTAAATCACAATGTGGGCATAATGTTTTGTAAATATTTGTCTCTTAGTATAAATTTATTATAGTATAAGACTTTTTGCAGTTTGTTAAGTTTCCATACTGAATGTGGTATAGTGTTGTTTTTGTTACCATATGAATTTAAATGCTGCCAGGAGTGTGGCCAGCACACATATTTTGTTTTAAACTTGATTTGGACAGAGTTGTGCACTAAAGAGTCAACTGTTGTCTTTCTAATGATAATTTGAGTCACATAACAACACAGCACACCATGAACAAACACGGACAATACTAAGAATCTCCTTCTCATGATAGACAGGCGGCACAAGTTCAGCCGCCTTCAAGAAAGACGATAGGAGAAGTGACACGAGCCTACTTGCTTTATAAATTTTAACTTAAACAACAAAGTTTTAAAAATTTTAAAAACTTTAACCAGGAAAGCTGCTGTGATTTTGAAAAAATTTGATTGTGTGTATATGTAATTTAGCACTCAGAACACCTATTGTGATAGTGGTTTCCAAATAAGTATTGATGTTCCCTCTGAAGATGATCTGCAAGGATTTAAACATGTAAGGGTGCCGAGTTTTCAAGTAGTAAAACTTAAATAGCCACACTGGACGGAGTTATTGTCTTGTCTTTGAGATTCAAACTTAGTAAAATAAACATTTCTTAATACAGGTCAGCTAACTGAGTCACATAAGGATTTAATCAAATAAAGGGCCTTGTTGAGCTTTTGGCATACGTATTCATGCCGGTTTCTTGCTTGGCTTATTCATCAGCATTGAAGATGGAAGTGATGTTCCTCTGAATGCTGGTTGACATTCAACAGACTACATGGTGTCATATCCCACAACAGAGTTTCCAGAACCTCTCTTTAACCCTTGCCACATATACACACAATATTTAATATTCCACAGAATACCAAAATAAATATTGAAACCAGGTTACTTCAGTCAGTGTAGCAAGAGGCTATGGGATGGATGGCCAAGGTTCAATTCCTGGAAGTGGCAAAAGTTTTATCTTTTCCAAAGTGTCCAGACTGGCTGTGAGGTCCATCCAGCCTCCTATCCGATGGGTACCAGGGTATCTTTCCCTGGGGTAAAGTGGCACAGGCATGAAGCTGACCACTCACTTTCACCTAGAGCCATGGTCAAGAATGGTGGAGGTATACCTCCACTTCCCCATACATCTTCATGGAGTCGTGTTTAATTAATTAAGCAAAGGACCACCTTTACCTTTCACCTTTTTAACAATACTTTTGTCATTCTGATCCACTGGGTAACACATCATAACTCTTAGAACTACTAGGTTTGTGGACTTTGGCCATCATTCAGCATTCTACATATCAGAGAACACTGGATGTTGGCCAAAGTTAAGAAACCTAATAATTCTTAGTGTTACACACCATTATCAGAACCCTTTAGAATCTAATCATACCTTTCTAATGCTAGAGAGGTATTCTGGATGTAAATTTTCTAACCAGCTAAATTTTTAATTCTTCTGTCTCTATCACATTTCTTAATATGGTTTATAATTAAAATTAATAGTACTGGGAAGGAGATTATTATAAAAGCGCTGAAACAACAGAATGGAGACGTAGCCTTTGGTTCCTAAAAGCAATGGAACCAGCAAAACTGATGACGTTTAAAGTACCATAATGTATGACGACATTAATGTGACTGTTCTTTCTATACCTGTGTAGTCTCTCATCCGTTTATTCTGCACAGTTTTGGCCTCAAATGCTCATTCCTCTTGTGACAACCTCAAAATTTGAAAGAGATATCGGACTGAACCAACAGGGAGAAAACGTTTTCAAGTCTCATGATTTTGGTACAGGTTTCATGCCCATGAAAAAAAGCATTTCTTGATCTTGATTTCTACAGAAGCATTCTTCAGCACTACACGTCAAACTAAAGTCCAGAGCACCACATGCTATACCAAGTTATGGGCTTGTTTTTAATGACAAAATACTGCTAAGTGATTGTGATTAAAGACAGGGTTTATTGCACATTTATACACACAAGTAACTATAGCACTACTGCTAATTCACACCCTCTGCAATTCACTATAGCATGTACAAAGTCATCTCAGTCTGCAGTGTCTTCACTGGTTGCTGCCTGGTAACAGTTTCCAATGCTGTAGCTTCCTCAGCTTCTGTATTCATACTGTTACTGGCCGGCAACTGTCTCAGAACTAAATCCTACTCTTCTGCCATCTCAAGGCTCTCGTAATCGCAGCTGCTACTCGTTACATAGTGTCAGTATGGACCACACAGTAAACACCTCTTCAAACAGCTTTTTCTATTGTTGCATGCATCTGTTGTGGCCATTACCTAGTAACGGCTGTTACATAGCTGCTATTTCACAGTTATTGCCTAGCAACGGGTCTACATGCCACAATATTTTATCAGTGAAAGTGGCTGCACTGTATACAATGAAAATGTACATGAAAATCATATAGATGTAGTAGTTTCAATACAGATTCTAGATTTATTACAGTTGATCTTTCTTCCAACACAGTTTCAGAAAATGTGTGCCTTTTCTGCTATTACCATTCCTATCCCCATCTCATTACAACATGTAGTGGGGTTTTCAACTTTTCAGTAACCAAGACCCTGGTCAAACCAGTGGTAAATTGTGCCTGCATAATAATAATGTGAACTTATTCTTTTGTATGACTGCAATCATGGTCTGTTACATGGGTGGAAGTACAAAAATTGTGTAGGTTTTGAAATGAAGCGTTCATGAAAATATTTATACCTGAGGGGAAAATAACTGGGGAATGGAAGACAATATATATTGTAGTGTGTAGTCCCATTACTGGGTAAGAATTTAAAAACAAACAACAAAATAATATTCGCTGCTAGGCAACAGATTTTTAATAAGTATATGCAGCTGTTATTGAGTAGCATCTTAAAAAACAAACACTTTCCCATGGAAACAGAGTACAACAACGAATGGTGTTTTCTATACAGTCCGTGCTGAGATGGGTTTGAAGTCCATCAGAGTTGTAACAGAGTGAGCTGGCAGTCAGCTGTAAGGGAGTCTGTGAAGACAAGAATTGGTCAGTCCAGTTTAAGAATCCCCACTGTTATAAACCGTTACCAGAGAATGACTGGTGAAGAAACAGCAGACTGAAAAGACTCAGCATGTGTTGTACTGATTTGTAAAGTGTGTAGATTAGGGACTGTGTTATAACTATTTGTAGAAATGAGTTGTAAGTGGCCAATAAATCCCATCTACAGTCACTCAAAATCATGATAATATGGATTCTGTGGATTCTACAGTTTGCCTACTACTGTTATGGTCATGAAATCAAGGAAGTTACGGTAGGGTGAACATACAGCTAGGATTAGGAATGTCATGAAAGACCAAAAAAGAGACTCAAGGATAATACCAGACTGGATCTTACAGAAATCAGTTGTAAGAAAGTGAAATGCACAGAATTGCTTTTGTATTAGTTGCACTGAATCTTGATGTGCCAGTAAAGTAAAGCTATCCCTGTACCAGGCCGTGAAGGCCCATAGAGTTGTGAGATGCTGAGGGTCCCACAATATCTAGACAATCGGCTCAAAGATGGTGGTAAGGTTGTCAGCCTTACGCCCCGGCCGCGCTTTACTCCCAAGGAAAATTATTTAATTAATTCCTGGTACTCATTTCTGTTAGAGGCTGAGTAAACCCCAGGGCCTAGTGAGGCTGGAAGGATTAGGTCAACTGGAAAAAATCCAATGACCTCATCGGGACTTTAACCCACAACCTTCCGGCTTGTAGCATAGCCCCTCAACCAACTACACTACCACATGCCCCCTTGATGTGCCAGTACACACATGAATGCATGAATGAAAGCACACATGTATACACATTCACAAATAAAGAGCTTGCTGTGGTTGGTGCACAGGCACTTCCTCTACAAGGTTATGTGAACAACACAAAAAGACAAATTATGACAAGTCATGGGAATTCTGAACAAGTTTCAGGGCTAAATGGCAACCAGCTAAATAAGATAAATAAATAGTGGCATTTCCTCTCTGAAACGAAGGCCTAGGTTTCTAATAAAACTACAACTACCATGCCACCTATGCAACATCGGAAGAAATGCTTCTTATTGGCACTTCTTACGTATTAGAATATTACAAGAGTTTGTATACTAAGATTCATCACAAATGGTTGCCAGTTCTTCCTAAGAAAAGTAAAACTTATAATAGATTCAACTGTACACTGTCCATATCATCAAGAAACATTATGTAACTATTCCACTATAAACATGAAATATATTACCTGCATGGCACGCTGCAATGGTGTGGCCTGATGATAGAAGTGTATAGTTCCAGGTTCCACAGGAAACCATTTGAGACCTGCCAACTCACTGTCTGAGAGAGGGGTTAGCACAGGGCAACTGTGACCAGTGAAGATAGAAAACAGTGTGTGAATAGTGCGACGCTGGGTGAGCTCCAGGTGACGATGCGTGCGGCCCGACAGATGCAGCCTGTAGCGCTCAGCTGTTGGGAAACTGCGCTCACATAACAAGCAATGATGCCTCTCTCTCGTGCGGGGATGCTGTTCTGAGAGATGACTTACGAAGTCCACCTAAATTCATCACCATCATCAGAGCAACATCATGTTTTAAATAATTACATTTTTTGATTAAGTGCTGTAAAAGTATCAAATGTTCAATCTCCTTATCCTTAAAGTGAAAAATAATTTCTCCAAAATGGTGACAAAATCTTATATGCTGCACTTACCTCTGATCGGAATGCAAGATGACAACGCTGACAATGATAGGGATGTCGACGGATGTGTGCTGTCCTCTCATCATAGCTACTGTAAACAAGGCCACAGGCTTGACAAGTATCATCTCCTTGTTTGGGTGCTCCTACCACACTGTGTTCAACATTATTACACAGTGTCTGCTGTTCACCTGGCTTTAATGTACTTGAATTACCAACACATTCAGATGAACAGTCACTGAGTTTATGCAACTTAGGCTCTAGGTCCTCTGAAGAACTGACAGACAGAAGAGCAGCATTTTTACCAGACCCTGTTTCTCTTGCACATTCTTCAGGATAATGCAACGTTCTAAAACTCCCTTCCGTTGATAAATCTTGGTTCCCTTTTACTTCTACATCTGTGTCTTCTGCTAACTCCTTATAAATAACTTCACTGTAATCCATTTGGGATTCAGCACTTAGGCTTATAATTTCTTCTTCTAATGCCTTGTCATCCAACTTGGGGCTTTTCTCTTTTAGACTGGTTCGTTTTTTCTTTGTAGAAGAAACTGATAATATTCTGTCAGGCTGAAATAAAGGAGGTACATCTTTTTCAAGATAAATATCCTCAAAGTATGGTCTCTTTTTTATGGTAGAACTTTTTGGGCCGTAATCCTTTGATGCTGTTACTGACTGTTCAGCTGGGTATGAAAGAGTAGATGGTTTCTCATTCACCATGAATGTCTTAGTTTGTGAATAATCTTCTGACACCACATTACCAGTATCCTCCAATGCAGCAGCATTTTCCTGCCTAGAAGAGGAAATGTCATGACTTACATCTGACATGCGTTTCTTATGAGACTTATGTTCGGTTTTTGATGATTCTCGGTCATGTTCATCAGACAATCTCCTTTTAAGAGTTCCATGTTGATAGGTAGACAAATTAAAATTATTATTGCTGTCTTCTGAACAAGCAGCTGAAATATCATGTACTGTCAGTTTATCTGAAGGACTGTTTTGATTCAGTGCAGTTGGTATGTCCTGCTTGCTCAAAAGTTCTTTCTCTTTTATCTCAACTTTCCTACACCCCTTTCTAACAGAAACTTCTTTCCTCTTGTGCTTTTGGAAAGTAAGCTTTGTCATACTATCTGTGGTATAATTTCTGTTTTCAACAACTATATATTCATCACCACTATCACCTCTAATAGCCCTGTTTCTGTCCATCTTCAAAGTTCCATTTTGCATTCTGTTACAATTGCTAAAAAATTTTAATTTAATAGGGGGGCTTTTCTGACTAAAGTATGACTTTGGGCTTGACAGTTGTCCACTGACGTTAGGTAACGAAGTGGGGCATGTATCATGCTTAACACAAAATGATGATTTGAAAGGGGTAAACCTTCTTGCATATCTTTGTGCATTCCAACCATCATTTAAATTACCACTCCGTGCATTTATCCTAGGGCGAAACATTCCAAACTTCCGTTTCTTGGGCCTCTCTGAACGACTCCCATTGCCATCCACAGAACTACAAGCTAATGATGGCAATGGAACTAAAGTCACATGATGTTGGCTGGGGGGAGATCTGAGACTAATTCTGAGTCCATGCCGTAAACTATCAGGCACTTTTTCTGCCTCATGAATCTCATTATCCACTGCACTGCTCTTTGCAAGTTCATCTAATGATACATTTCTTTCAAGTCTAACAACTGGCTGCCACTGACCACTAGAGGTACTACATGATGAAGCACTGCGAAGAAAGCTCTGATATTTGTTAGTATTGCCCATACCTATAGTTCGCTTAATTATTACCCTGGGCAATTGTTGTTTGGTATTATCTTCACCTGAAAATGAGCTATTGGTTGAAACAAACTCACTGACTCTAATATCTGAATATATGTTGACGTGTTTACTGTCATCACAGATATCATGTGTCTTATCTGTATCAGCAGGTGGATCTACTCCGTCAGGATCATTTTCTTCAGACAGCATAATGGAACTAGAACTACCAGACTTACAAACTTCAGACTTTCTTCCAGCTTCCTGACTGTTGTTAACTAATGATATATGTGAACTCACGTCTTCCTCAGATTCTGAATTGTCGCTATCTGTTGTGCCACCTGCTTGGGTTTCAGTTTGCTGAGAAGAAGAGATACTGGTCATCAATGAGGAACTACTTAAATTACACTCCTTCACAAGACTATCATCATGTTCTGAATCTTCCAGTCGTTCACAATGTTGTGCAACATCATCACAAGTTTCACTTGTTTGCTCAGATGATGAAGCACTTGCTTGGATAAAGTTATTACTACCTAAATTCCTGATATTTGCATCTAAAGGTTCTTCCTGGTTCATATTCTTGCTTTTTGTGTCAGAATCAGCATCACTATCATCATCAGATCTGCGTTTCAGTATAAGTCTCTTGACCAGCACTATGGGTGATTGGGTTACTCCATTGGGCAATGGGCCAACATCCTTTGCAACACTTCTGCAACTACTGTTTCCTGTAGATGCAGTTAACAGAATACTGTTAGGTTTTCCCTGATTTAAGATTCTGTCAGACTTGGGACCATCTACAACCTGCCACGTTTTGGGATGACCTCTTGGTGATGAGGTTGGTGCAAGACGGACTTCAATTTTTGCTGGACCCAATTCCAAACCACTGACTCCTTTGTTCTTTAAGTCATGCTGGCTCTTCAGATTTCCATTTAACTTCTCATATTTATCACCTAATTTGTTACCATCATTTGCATGACAGATTTTAGAACATTCCTTCAACTGCTGCCTGGACTTGGTACAAAATTCAGTATCTTCTTTTGTAACTTTTGGGTTCTCTCCATTTTTAGTTCCCTGCTTCTTTTTCTTCTTCCTGTCAGCCTTTGACAAAGCAAATATTTTCTTCCAGCTAAGACAGCACTTCAAACTCTTTATAGCAACTGCTGTGTCATTTGAACCTGACTGTGTTCTAAAATTATATTGACTACTGTTACTGGAACACATGCTTGCCTCACACTCGGCTGTGTCTCCATTATTTGAAGTTGGGGTGGATGGCACTGGTGATGAAGAGGGAACCATTAACAGTGAATTTCCAGAGTCCCTGTCTGCTACTGGAAACTCTGAGAAAACTTCCTCCTCAAGATACGGCCAGTTTGATACAGAATCAACAGGCAAGACATCTCCCAAACTTGGATCCAGGCCTGGTAACATCTCTGAATGTACAGCTGATGCAGGTTCATCTGAAGTCTCCTGTAATGCTGCTACTGCTAAGGTGACATTCTCACTGTGCTCAAGGATAACAGCTTCAGTTTCTTTAGCAGTTGAATACCTGGGGCCACTTTCAATGTTGAAATTTGTTTCTGTTCTACAAACACTCAATTCAGCACCTGAGAGAGAAGTTTCATCCTCCAAATTAACTGATGGCCATGCTTTTCCTATACCAGTTGATGCCAGCATTTCTTCATCAGCAGTGGCATCTGTAGTGTGCTTCTGTGATCTTTCACCAGATGGAACACAATCCAAGTCTGAAGTCACCAGTGGTAAAGATTCCCATCCACATGTTGCATCAGAGTGCATGACTCCCATGTACTCTGGTTCAACTTCTACCACTTTTACTGAGTCAGTTTCAGAATCCAGGTATGATGCAAGGACCTGCAGTGTTTCTTGGGTGACTGATACCTCTTGCATCTCACATTCCACAGCTTTCTCTAAAGAACCATCACATTCCTCTGTCACTGACACTTGTGCTTCTGGCAGTAAATATCTGTGCTGGTCATTTTGCAACAAATCAGGACTAAGACATGGAGATAAACCATGACTTTCAGTTGACGGTTCTTTCTGTATCACACCATCCACTGTGGAGGCTTCTCTTTCCAACCAAGAAGAGTTCTCACAACTATGACTTCTGGCTCGTGGTTCTTTCTGTACTACACCATTTTCTGTGGAAGATTTCCTTTCCAACTTGAAGGAGATCTGAGAAGTAGTCAACACAGAAGGCATCTGTTTCCCTGGTAGTTCATTATCTACTGAATTTGTCAATTGATCCTGTGAGGGTATAGACATCTCTGTATTTCTGCTGCCTTCTGATTTCTGCACAGAATGAGGCCTTGAAAATGTCACTTCCAATGTAAGATTGTCATTTCTTTGTACTGTTTGTACATCAACCCCTGATTCTGTTACATTTTCCTTCATACCTGTGTCCATATCCACCGACAAAATTTGTAATGGAGGTATATTGCTCACAGATGCACAGATATCATTAGGATACGGCACCTGATCACTCCCCACTGGCTGCACAGGGTCTGCAATAAGGTCAAGACATGGCATTTCCAATGAATCAGAGCTGTATGGTGAAACTTCTGTGTCAATAACTTCAAGATGTGGCATATCTTCTGTACCAACTGAGAGATCTGCTTCTTGTCTGTGAGGTGAATTCTGTGCACTCACATTGCTATGCATTAGTTCCACTGTCATCTTGGTGCTTGCAACAGTAGTCATGCTATTCTGGATCGGCCCTGGGCCACTTACTGGAGAACTCTGTTCACTGTGTGAAAGAGAAACATTATTTTCCTGCAAAGACAGATGTTCCTCCTTCAAAGATGAATCTTCAGACATAGGCAAAACGAATTTTGCAATTCCATCCATGTCCAAGCCTTCTGATATGTCCTGAGGTGACAAAGAACTATGGGAAACATTTTCTGGTGTCTTTATCTTGATATCATGCATTTCTTCCTTATTTAGGTCCAATGGGGAAGGGCATTCATGTTGTATGGTCATATTAACAGACGTTACTTCACAACTAATTTCATCCTTTATTACTTTATCTGCAGAATTCCATTCATGTTGCATAAGTGTTCCTGAAGGTATGTTTACTTCAGAAGTATAGATTTCATCTTTAATCAATTCTTCCAGGCAATGGTGTTCCTCCTGCTGCATAGGCACACCACTGGACATATCTAACACACAATTATTAATCTTATCTTTATGCATTTCCTCTATATATGGGCATTCTTCCTGAATAGACAATGTATGTGATTCATCATGCAGTTCATGCATATAATTATTTAATGCATCCTCAGTTGGCTCAGCTGCAGATGGGCACTGTTGCTGAAAAGGTTTTATGTGATTTGCAGCTGTGTCCATTTTCTCTTGGTTTGGTTCTTCTTGTTGCTGGGACTTGCTTCCTACAGAATGAAGTTCATTAAGTGGTTTTCTCATACCAACATGTTCAGTGTGTTTTGAATTACATGACAGGTCATCAGGGCTTGTCAGTGCTCTGCATGTGGTGATAAACTTCAGTAACCGATTATGATTACATTCACTTGACGATTTAGAAGTCTGCTCTAGTTTGAAGTTCTCAGCGGTCTTAAGTTCTCCTTCTGGCTGATAACATTCCTGATTCTCTACTGTGTTAATGAGAACAGACATCCCAGCATTGTTTTCTTTTCCCAAAGTGATGGAAACTGATGTGACCATGCTAGTAATGTGTGTCTGCTCCATGTCTTTACCATTTTGTTCTGCTTTCTGTGACCTGCTTGCCATTTGACTGGTATTACTGCACTGAATGTCTGCTCCATGCTGCCAGTCCTCTCCCACAGCACAATTCACTAATCCCTTGCAACCATCATTACCTTCATCACCTTCACTAATACTGACAGCATTTACAGCTGTGGCAGAAATAGCACCAGCAAACGTGGCAGTGCCAGTAGTTCCTAAGGAAGTAGTGGTGATAGCGGTAACAACAGCAGCAGCAGCAGCAGCAGCAGCAGCAGTAGTAGTAGTAGTAGTAGTAGTAGTAGTAGTAGCAGCAGCAGCAGCAGTAACATTAACAGTATTAGCATCATTACTTGTACCAACAAAATCAGCAGTGATGGTGGTGGTGGCAGCAGTAGTAGTAGTATTGGTGGTAGTAGTAGTAGTCAGAGCAGTAGCAGTAACATTAACACAAACTTCACCTTCATTAGCAGTATTAGCATCACTACATGTACCAACATAATCAGTGGTGATGGTAGTGGTGGTGGTAGCAGCAGCAGCAGGACTAGTTGTGGTGGTGGTGGCAGTAGTAGTAGTAGTGGTAGTAGTAGTAACAGTAGCAGTAGTGGCAGCAACACCAGCAAATGTTTCAAGACAAGTCACATTTTGAACTACATTCTGACATGCAACATTGCTTTGGTCTTTACAGGATGTGTAGGCATCCATGTTTCTAGCAGTTTCATCATCAGTGGTGATTGCAGAAGTAGTAGGACTAAGAGCACCACCACCATCATAATCATCAATGTTTGTATTATCACAATAAACATCATCTTCAATAACAGTAGTAACAACAGCAGCAGTGGAAGTGGTGGTGGTGGTGGTGGTGGTAACATGATCAGTAACGTCAGAAATATGTGCATCAGTATTGTAATTATCGTCAAGATGTTCTTCAGTGGCAGCATCTACACTTTTAACAGAAACATCATCATGATTATCACCATTAATAGTAGCAGCTATGGTAGTGATACCATCATCATCACCGTTGTCACCACCACCACCACCACCACCGTCAGTCACGCTTGTGGCTACATTCTGTCCCTTACAGGAAGTGTTTCTATAATCAGCTGCAACATCATCTTCTCTACAGCCATTCTCTTGCTCATTGTGGCAAATGTCAGGACTGAAGTTTCTCTGTAAATATTCCACATTTTGTGATTCAGTAACATAAGGTGATCTGTCACTACACGCACTCAACCTCTCTTCTGGAATGTTGCCTTTCTGACATTTGGAAATGGCGTTCTTCGAGAAATTAATAGGTTCAACATTCCATGATGTTTCATAACCTGCCACAGCTGTACCTTCACATGGTACACTGGCAACTGCAGACTCCGGTTCACAATCGATCTCCAGATGGTCACTTACAGATTTGTCTGATGTTTCAGGATGACCTGCTGATGAGTTAGGTACTGCAGTTTTCTGGGAATTTAATATGTTATGCTGGATAGGTGCTGATTCAGTACCAGTAATAAACAATAAATTCTTGTTCTGAGGTTCTTTAATGCTGTTACTTCTATCAGAATTCATTTTGAGGGTTTCTTCATTTTTATTTCTACCTGCTGTGATCAGCAATTTGTCTTCTTCATTTAAGCTACACAAGTTCTGGTTTTGTAGCAGAAGTGTTTTGGGTATATTCTGACTTTCAGAAACCTGTAGAACTACAGAACTGTTGTAATTATGGCTGGTGGCAATGTTCAGTTTTATACCCAGATCTGAGTCGTCTTCTTTGTGTGGGACATGTCCATCTACGTTATTCTCATTTGTCTGAGACACATTTTCACTTCCAATTGTCATATTTGAAGTGGGTGAATTGATACTGCAATCCTGGTGTACTTCAGGAGATTCTGCATTTTTGTTACAAGCTGCTGCAGACTTTGGCATTTCCTTGATATTAGTGACAAGTTGATATGACTGGATAACTTCTACTGATTCATGACTAAAGGAACCAGTCTCTAGCACGCTCATGAAGCTAGCTGCATTTTTTGAACTGTCTGCTGTTGTTTCTAAAATTGATTTATTGGTTGTTCCATCATTTTCTGAAAGTTTCAATAGTCTACTACAAGCACTTCCTTTTTGTAATGGATAAACTTCAGACACCTCATTATCAGTCTCTTCAATTTCCAACTGTTTTGAGCCATAATTAAAATGTACTTCAGTGTGACCATGTGTAGAAACTTTTGAATCTCTGATCTCATCACTTGCTTCAAGTCTCTCTTCCACATCATAAGTAACTGCATCCTCACTTCTGTCATGAGAGGCTGGACTGTCTGATGATGATGATGATCTCAGCATTACAGAACTGTTATTCAAAATAGAACAATTCTTTCTTTGTCTTCTTCCTACCTCACCTGAAACAAGACTGTGAGTTCCATTAAAACAAGAAACTGATGATACTGACATGTCTTTCCCATTTGCATCCAATGACCTCTTTTCTGCACCCACTGGATTCACTTTATTTTCTGCAAGTTTCAAGTCCAGTTCTTCATGCAACACTATACAGGCATTTGATTGTGTACTGGGCACTGTTTTATCTACAGAATTATCATCTTCATTCTGCTTATTCCTGTCTTCTGTGACTGCCAGTGTGTTACAAAGTAGTGAATCAGGACTGTCATGTTTCTCACTATCAATTTTTGTTCCGGTGTCAGAGTAAGTGATATTCTCTAGTAAAACATTAGTTGTAGGTTTGTGGCCATGCAGGATGTTACAAGCTTCCACTGCAGAATTGTGGTCCAATGGTAGGAGCTCTGCATAATTATTTTCTTCAGATTCCGACTGCACTTTCTCGTTGCTCTCTGGTGCTAAAACACCAAGCAAACCAGTATCTGAAGTTTTGCTAACGTCCTCAATCCTACTAGATAATAAATCTGATTGATGATTCGCCACGAACAGTTGAGAAGGTTGTGACGTTACTGGCTGTATTTGTGTGCCTTCACTACAACTATCAGGGATGTCAAAACTGCTTTTAAAATAAGGTGACAATTCTGTGTTATTTCCTAGTGATTTTGCCTCACTAGATGATACTGATACACATTTCTCATTATCTACCTTAACTGATATTTTAAAATCACACATTCCTGCCATTTCATCTTTGTTATCATTCAGGTTTTCAGAATCAAAATTTTTTTCCACTAGACATGGGAAACTATCATTTGTATCTCCAGGCAACGTATGGGATCTGTCTAAACTTTCAAGTATGTCCAATGAGTGGTCAGAATGTGAATCTTCATGAATGGGCTTCTTTGATATACATGGTAAACTTGAAAATGAAATACAATCAGATTCAAGCCTGATCTCATTCTCAAAGTCAGATAAAGCAGAATCCTGATACATCAAATCTAATTCTTCATCTACTTCTTCCACAATGACTGGGGTTGGTGTACTTGATGTAACAGACATATCCAAGTCTTCTCCTGTATCACTCGAGTATGACAGCAGATTAAGACGGTTCTTTTCTGATTCATTGGTGACTGAAAAATTGACATCCTCTATGCCTTTCTCATTTTCACTGGTTTGAACTGGTTCTGCAGAATAACCTTTCAAATCCTGCTCTTTTAATTTTATATTTTCTTTATCTGCCATCACTGGTGTCTTCCCTGCAATGCCTTGCCCTGTACTATCCTGGGATAAATGAGCACTGGACAATTTCTCTGCAGACAAATAAGGACCGGCAGTTGAATGTGTTGGAATGGCATCAGTATTCAGTAATACATCTTTATTCGGCGTTTTCATCTTAATGCTACTTGGAGGCAGTGCTTCATCAAACAATTTAATAGAACTACTGACTTTGACTTTTGTGTTAACAGTAGTGGTTAAATTACTAGATTCTGAATGACAGACCTTAGTGGTACATGCTTTAGTATTCTCAGGCAGTTTCTCTTTTGCCAGCAATTCACATGTTAGTGACAGCTTCAAATATTTTTCTGCTTCATTGGTATTCTCAGTCTTCTGGGACAACACTTCATTGTTACTGTTTGGTGTGTTACAGTGCAAAATTTCTGGATCAGAAACGCCATTTGTTTCTTCTATTAAATATGGCATCCCCGTTGATTCTGACACAGAAATGGTTACATCCTTGACAGAACTATGATCTGAACCATACGATATGTCTGCAATATTCTTCAAAACCGAACAGCCATTTCTGGCACAAGTCTTCTCAATTTCCTCATCATCATTCAAACTGTCACAAAGTTCTGTTTCTAAATCTTCAATTTCCTTCCCAGCAAAACCTCTATTTGATATCTTTCCATGTGAACATCTACCTTTCTCAAATGTCTGCTTGATTTTTGTGTTGTGTTCTATCACAGCTGTACAAAGATCTTTCAGTGTATTAATACCTACCCTATTCTTGAATACCAAAGACCGCACTTCTTTAGCTCTGCTTTTTCTACTTTGGTGGAAATCAGCATGTCTCTCTTCTAATGCTGTATCGGGACCAACCTGCTGAATCTTGTTACAAGATAATGAAACCTCTTGATGTGAAATGAAACAGACACAATCTTTTGACTTACATTTGGACTTTCCTTGCACATTCTGCCAAATATTGCCATCTGTTCTGCATTCATTTTGCACCACAAAACAGTGTTGTGAATCAACATCAGAGGTGTCTTCATGAATTCCATGAAAACTATCACATTCTTCTGGAAAAGGATCTGCTTGTGATGGCAAGCTTTTGGATGAGGTATGACAGTCATTAAGCAGAACGCTATCAGAAACATCAGATTTTGTGCAAACATTATCCAGATGGCTGTGAATGTTTTCTACCACAGAGATTCCTGGTGCCTCTACTAAACTTTCAACTAAACCAGATTTACTGGCAGAGTTTTCACTCCCACTAATTGGCGTGGATTCTCCACTTTCTTCTGTCTGATAAAAAGAGGACTTGCTCTGGTCTAATGTTCTGTGCTCTGGTAAAGACTTGATAGAATTATTTGATTGTCGAAATTTTTCCAATCTGTCTGGATCAATTGGAATTAAACTTGGGCATTCTCCTAGTGGTTGTGATATATCATCATTTGAATTCTCTTGTAATGTCTGGTTGTTACCTTTTGTGGTATCATTACTGGTATTGCTGGATTCCGATGGACTTGCCAATTGTTGCTGGTACATATGAATTAAACTTTTAGTGGAACTGCCCTCTGGTATTGAATTTCTGTCTACAGTTGACAATGTTGCCATACCATTAGCATTCAAATTTCTACAGTCCAGTACCAACAATGGATTTTCTGCAGAACTGTTACTGAGAACAACATCTGGCAATCTTGGAGCTGGTGATAGGTCATCCGTCTCCTCATCCCAGGTAGCTAAAAACTGTCGCACATCAAGAGTAGGAGCTGGTGTCATATGCCGGCTGCTTCTTCCCCGATGCCGTTTCCCTACTAACTGCACTTGGTCAGTTTTCATCATACCCTTAATGCGGGGTTTACGTTTCTTGATTGGTCGACTAGCTCCTATATCTTCCATTAGTGGCAATAACTGCTGATTAACACCACCAGTTGCTGCAGACATGTTACTCTGGGAATAAATGTTGGGTGATGTGATCTGACAATTTTCTTTGGATGACTGACTGATCAGGTCTGCTTCTGGCCCTGAAACATGGGTATTGCTGTAGTTCTTATTAAAATCATCAAATAAATGAGAGTGCAATACGGAACTGTTATTTCCACAAAACGTGTTACATGCAGCAACATTCTCTGATCTGTTATCTGCCAACATGTTCTGGTAGGGCATATGTTGAGATCCTGCAACCCCTGACTCTTGTCTATTGTGTGGTGACCCAATATATGATGAATTATTTAGACGTTTTGGGTCTACACTGAGTCCTGCAGAACTCCCCAGGCTGCATGAAGGATTACTTTCAACCACTTGCATTGTTCTACCAGTCTGATATTGAGTGGCATTATCAGACAACATCTTGCCACATGACTGGAGATGAGGTACCTGAGAGGTCGCAACAGAAGCACTAGTTATGGCAATTGTGGGGGCATCACTTGAGTCCTTCATGGTACCATATCTAATAACGGGTTCTAGTGGTAATGAATTACTAGATGGAGACTGAATTTGTCCTGAACAGTTCATGCCAGTGTTTGGAGTTTCTCTGTTATGGTAAGAAATATGTCGATGTGACAGACCCGATGTTACCGTGTTTGCTGTAGCAGTAGTACTGTTTGAAACAAAACCATTTCTCAACACATCACCAGAATGGGAAGAGTTATATGACTCTTCGAGGCAAGATTCGGAAAATAATCTCATATAGTTATTACTTCGGGATATCTTGCTTTGAGTATAGGTTAGGTTTGAGCTGAACCGTGATGGTGGCTGTGCAATCCCAAGTACTGCTGAGTAGTTTGTGGAGGAAGAAGAGGAAACTTTAGTGTCCTGAGGTAGGTATGCCGCAAAATTGGTAGCTGGAAATTTTCTTGAAATATCTCGCTGCACCTGATCTGTATGTCTCTCTACAGAGGTAGGAGGAAAATCTGGCAATGCTGGACTGGAATTGATTCCATCTGAGATAATATGTGACCTAGTTATGTCCTGATGACATAGTTCTGATGTGATAGTGGGGGGTTCATGATGGCCTTTATCATTTTTGTTGCTCCGTGTCTCAACTTGTGACTTCACCACCCGCGTTGGATGTCTTGAAACCATGTCCTGTCGATACTGTACTCCACATTCCACTACTCCTTCATGTTGGTGGCTTCTTCGTGGTAACAGGTCCTGATATACCTGTGGCACAGTTGTTTCGTCTGGGCCCTTCTGTCTCACTAACATTTCTGAATATCTTTGTGGTACCTCAGTGCCTTTTTGATATTTTTGGAGCATACTTTGATGGAGTTTGTCACTTCTTTCTCCCTCATGCACAATTCCTTCTTTTTGTTGCTGTAATGAATGATGGTGTCTAACCTGACCTGCAGGTTTATTTGAAGCCATATCGTGATAGTTTGTCGGCAGAGGCACTTGCTGGGCAGAAATCTCACAGTTGCTTCGGTCACTCCAGAAATTTGTCATGCCTGCATTTCCCATATTATGTATATCATCTGGTGCAGACATCCAGAAACTTGGTGGATGACTATTCTGCAGCCAAAGCCCTGGTGACTGATGCCACTGGTTGCAAGATGGACTTCCACCATTTAATGTTGTTGCTGAATGTCCAGTATATCTCAGAACATTTTCTCTTGGTACTCCAAACTGTTGGATGGGAAGAGGTTCAAGATTGGGAAATTTTATGGTCTGCTGATGATATAACTTACAATTAGGCCTAGTACATGCACCATGGCAAGTAATGCAAGAGTCTTTTTTAGTTGAGGCATTTTCACTTGGGACAGGAGGAATGTACTTTTCCAGTATGGGCTCCATTCTTGATGAACAGTGCTGAGGCCTGACAACACTAGAATCTTCTGCAGGTGACAGATTATCATTCTTTGGTGCTATGGTGGATGAAACACCTGGAGAAGAATCCTTTGCAAACTTTGAAAGTTTTGTAAGCTGAGTTGCAAAACCACTTGTAAAATGTTGGGAAGATTCCTCGTGCTGTGAAAAATTGGCTAGATTTGGTGCAAATCTGGAAATCTCATCTCCAGATAAGGGGGCTGCTGAGTTTCCAGTAATGTAGCATATACTTTCTGCTGGAGGTGGATTCCAGGGGTGAGGAACTCTTGCAACAGAATGATTGTAACATGCATTACAATTTGATTGGCAGTTTATTACTGCCCTGGGTCGAACAACAGGCTGATGACTATTATTACCTGCACTTATATTTTTATAATGAGCAAGAACACTGTTATTCTCAAACTGAGACACCACTTGAGGATTATGGTTTGCAGATGGATGTCTGTGATTCATACTCTGGTCTCCTGTATAACAAGGCACGGTGCTGAAGGGCTGCTGAGAGTAGTCCCATGGAGGACCTGATGTTTGTTTGGAGGTATCTCCAGGTAGAAACGAGGCCTGACTGCGATTCTCAAAAAAAGGCTGGTCATTATAACAAGTCGTGGCATCTTTATAGCCGCTGAACATGTCTAATTTTTTTGCTTTTCATAACATATAACTATTTATCCTACCGTTGCAGCAGCCGAATATTCTTGTCCATGACGATGAAATCAGCTTCCACCTCGGCAAATGGTATTCAATCCTATCGAAACAGGATGAAAATGCATAATTAATGTACCTTAGGTCCGTAAGATTACAAATACTATATGATTATACGATACGTTATTGAGATACCCTGCATAATAAATATCATGTAAATATTTTTTACGTCTACCATGACAAACTACTAACATACACTCACAACACCAGCCATCTTGAAAACCTCGAAATACGTAAATAAATGGATGCGTTCTGAACGTTCGAATTGGTTCAGTTATTGTTTCCGACAGCTGCTCTGAGCTCTGAGTTTATTAGCGTTCAAGTGTTCAAGTGCGTGAGCGGTATAGTTAGTAATCCGTGCAGTCGATGGCATAGGGTGGTTGGTTTGGTTTGGCATTTGCTTGGGGGTGCGGAAAATTATTTTAACAGAAAGTGTTGTAATTTAAGGAATCAAGATTGACGTTTTCACAGCAACCATTATTGAGATAGCGGTCTGAAGGACTGTAACATTTTGCAGTCTTGTAAGCAGATACATGTAAATTGCATTCCATGGACCTAGAAATATGTATGCACAGTAAAACCAAAGCATTCTCCCATCTTGAAAAGTCGGCAACTGTTCAGCTACTCAAGAACTTACCAGCATTTTATGGAACCTGAAGGTTCATTGCCATGTTCACAAGAATCAACTTCTGGTCCCTATCCTGGGCGAGATCAACACAATTCATACCATCCAAATCATATCTCTCTAAGATCCATTTCAATATTGTTCACCTACCTATGGCTTGGCCTTTCCAGTGGTCTCTTTCCTTCCGGCTTTCCCACCAATATCATATATACATTAATCTTCTCCCCATTCGTGCTATATGCCCTTCCCATCTAATCTTCCTTGACCTGACCATTCTAATTATACTTGAAGAATACAACTTACGAAGCTCCTCATTATGTAGTTTTTTCCAATCTCCTGTCACTTCATCTCTCTTCGGTCCAAACATTCTTCTCAACACCCTAAGTCTATGTTCCTCCCTTAATGTCACAGACCACGTTGCACACCCATACAGAACCACAGGGAAAATCTGTATATTCTAATTTTTGTTTTTAGACAGCAGATGGGAAGGGAGAAGGTTCTGGACTGAATGGTGGCAAGCATTACCCGAGTTCAGTCTCCTCTTAACTTCCTCCTGAATCAGATTTTGATCTGTTACTGTCAGTCCCAAATACCTGAACTCTGCCACATTTTCAAAACATCTGTTAGTTGTTTTTATGTCACGATTTTGTCCTGCATTTTGGTGACAAGACAGCAACATATATTTAGTTTTCTCTGTTTACTTTAGACCAACCTCCTTACTAGCGTCAATTAAAGTTTGTGTGTTTTTCTTTGTGGTATCTATATTATCACCCAATAGATTAACATCATCAGCATAGACCAACAGCTGATGTGTCTCATTTAATTTCAGTTCCACCTGGTTTTCCTATACCTTCCTAATGCATACTCTAAATCAAAGTTGAAAAGTGGCGTTAAAGCATCTCCTTGTTTTTGACCATTCCAGATGGCAGAATTATCAGACAGATGTTTACCTATATGGACTTTACTGTATGTTTCGTTTAAACACATTTTAACCAGCCTAAGTAGTTTCATGCGTACCCCACACTCCAGAATATTGTACAATACTTCTCTCCTAACCGAATCACAGACTTTCTAGAAGTCTATGAATAGCGTATGTACTGTCTCATGGTATTCCCATTTTATTTTATCAAATTGAAAAGCTCTTATGAGTAGTTGATCTGTTACATCAAAATCCAAACTAATGATCCCAAAAAATTTTTGACTATGTATAACTTAACCTTGAATGAATATTGGATAAAATTTTGTATGAAGTTGATAACAGTGATATCCCCCGATAATTACTATAGTCAGTTTTATCACCCTTCTTGTGAAGTGGCACAATAGTAGACTCCTTCCACTGATCAGGCCTTTTCTTTCTTATTCCAAATAGAATTAATTACCTTATGGATAGGGGCTAGCTCTATCTATTGAACCCACCTGAGTAGGTTTACCTGAGGATGGGGACAGAATCCAGTCTCCAAAACATTGTTTTTAAAAAGAAATAGGACGGTTTTTAGAAAATAGACAAGACGGTGGATAATGTCCAAGAGCATAATAATTGTAGCAATATCCCATCGTCACAAACTTTTAGGTCTTAAGAAAGGACAGGTGTACTCCACACCTTCAAAATGTGTGTCTTTATGGTTTTGTTTCCTTTGTCAGTTCTGATATTCATTTGTTGCAGTAGTTGGCAAATATCACACTGCAGACAGCCATAAATTCTAATGACAATGCTAAAGAGGTACAAATTTTTTTTTGTATTTTTTAAATACAATGAAAATTGTACCAAACTGGACCAAATTAATGCAGATCCTAAAGGAAATACGTATCGATTGGCGTGAAAGAAGACTGATTAGTAAATTGTACATGGATCAGAAAGTTAGAGTGTGACTGGATAGAGGGGAGATAAGAAGTGTGAAGATTGGAAGAGGAGTTTGACAAGGATGCTATTTATCACCAATTTTGTTCAACTTGTACAGTGAATGCCTTACCAAAGATGCTATGGATGGACTTGGAGACTTCAAATTAGGAGGGAAAATTATTCAAACTGTGAAATATGCAGATGACCTTGTGTTAATGGCTAAGAAAGAAACTGTGCTGCAGTGTATAATCAATAGACTAATCGAAATTGGAAGGTGCTATGGCATGGAAATGAATGTGGAAAAAACAAAAGTAATGAAAATTTCGAGACAACCAACCCGTCACAATAAAGATAGACCAAAAACAACTGGAGAATGTGAAATGTTTCAAATATTTGGGTAGCTTGTTAACAGATGATGGAAGGTGTATGTGTGAAATTAAATCTAGGACTGCCATGGCAAAAACTGCATTTAGCAAGAAGAAGAATCTTTTTACCAGCAAATTGGACTTAAATTTGAGAAAGAAACTAGTGAAATGCTACATTTGGAGCACTGCTTTGTATGCGGCTGAAACTTGGACACTTAGGGCAGTAGATCAGAAACACCTGGAAAGCTTCGAAATGTGGTGTTGGAGGATGGAGATCAGTTGGACCGATTATGTGAGAAATGAAGAAGTGTTATTAAGAGTCAGTGAGCAGAGGAATATCCTACATGAAATAAGAAAACGGAAGGCTAATTGGATTGGTCATATCTTACACGGTAACTGCCTTCTAAAAGAAGTTATTGAAGGAAAGATAGAGGGGTGGATAGAAGTGACCAGAAGATGAGGAAGAAGACGTAAGAAGATGCTGGATGACCTTGGGGACAGAAGAGGATATTTTCATTTAAAGGAGAAAGCTCTAGATCGCATCAAGTGGAGGAACTGTTTTGGAAGACTCTGCGGACCTGTCGTCTTGATAGATTACTGATGAATGAATGAACACCACATTGAGGAAGGTTTCAGAGCCATATTTTCTGCTTTGCACCAGTTTTTATGTCCATTCTGGACATAAGTGATAAGGACTGATTTCACCTACCTGTAATTTAGTAGTTACATGTATCAAAATGAAACTGACCAAACATATATTATTGCAAATTCCCAATATAAAAACTTCAGAAAGATCCATCAAGCAACTCTGGAGATGATACAGGGGTACAAACATGCCTTCCAATAATGCATTTATGTCGTGCAGTTTGTGTAAAAGATACAACTGTATTCTCAATGAATCAAATCTTTCGTGCTTCAATTAGCAACAGCCTGCTGAATTTTCCTTCAGAGAAACAACTGGAGTAACTAATCATAAAAGACAATTTTCTGTTTTTTTAATACAGGGCAATTCAAAACAATGTATATACTTTAAAGAAAAGGCTGACACACAATTTTTCAATGTTTCTACAAATTTTATAGATACTCAAGTTGAGCCCACAAATTATACGAAGGGTATCAATCCAATACTCAGTTTTTCCCTGCCTTCATAAGCATGGAAGGTTTGTTGGCATTGGTGTTGCAAACACAGTACTTTCCACAAAGCCCCACAAAACGAAGTTACAAGGTGTCACATCCAGTGACCTGGGGGGGCCACTCTTCTTCAGCTCCAAATCCCATTCATGAGTATGGTAGTGTGCTGTTCAATTACTGTCACACTATGCAGTGGAAGGGGGAACAAGTATCATCTTGGTAGAATAATAAATCAGCAGAATTTTCATGAAGTTGAGGCATAAGCCAGTGAAAAACAAAGAATGCTTTCTTCTGTTAGATACTATTTTCACATTATGTGTGCCTTTGATGGACAGGAAAATAACCAAGTTTCTGGCTGATGCTATAAAAAATTTGGTTAGATTCACTGCTGTCGGTATATGTGGCATCACTGTAAAATGAATGAGTACTGTATTAATAGCATCTTAAAGTGTTTGCCTCATTTAGAATTTCCCTGTATAATAAAAATTTCTGGATAGGTCACTAAAATGTTAATCAAAACAAATTTTAAATACATTACAGTCAAGAAATCTATTGACAGAATATGCTTTTCATTCAAAATTACACATAATAATACTGAGCTACATTTTTTCATAGAACAACATTAACAAAGAAAAAGTATCATTTCTTAGTTCTGATTAGGTGACAGAAAAATACATCTGAACCTTCCAACTACTCATAAGTTATTAAATATTTGATCAATATTAATTTATATTATATAAAAATCAGCCAAACTGAACAAAAGTATGTTTTTTTAACGTTTTAACTGAACTAATGTTTCATAAGTATAATTATTACAAACTTAACAAATACACGAATATTAAAAATATTTTTAATCAGCTATTTACAGAACAATTCTGTAAGAATAGTTATTGTCAAAATATGTACAATTTTCATGCATTCTTCAATCTAAGCATTCAGCCATTTGTAATGTACTAACCTATTTAAGCATTACAGATACACTGAACACAAACATATATATTTGCATAAATAATTAATTAACAATTACTGCATCATGCTGGGGATTTTCAAGTCACAAGGTTACAACATCAATAATTTCACCTTCAAATTTTGTCTCTAATCTCATTACAATCTGAAATTGTATTACTAACAGAATATACTGCTTATAAAAATTATGGAAAAATCTGGACCTGGCAAATGTCTTAGAAGAAATCTTTCACTGCCAGATGTAATAATATGCTTCTGTGCACAAAATATGACTTAACAGACAAGGTAAACATCAACGAAATTTCATGTGGACATTTAAGCTGCAATATGTATATTTTTTTTTTGTTTCCTTATTATTACATAAAACACGTTTAAGATCTGTGTGTGACCACATCACTTTCAATAAGTGTTCTGAAGCGAAAAAGATTGCAATGTGTAAATAAAATGTTTAAAGCTTGCTCATCACTGGACCAGGCTATATCATGCTTTTAACAGTGAATCAGTACAGCTCAGTCAGGAGTCACTGGCTCTACAGCAAATGAAATAGATCCGATTCCCAGAAGAAAGGCTTGAAACTGCTTTTGCCACCACTTTCAAACCAAGGGGTCTCAGAGGCTCTTTCTGCTTTGTAGTGCTAAAGCCTACAAAGAAGGCTACTCCTTTATGCTTTCATGGCACAAAGCTTTGGAACGGGACAACTTTACCTTCCCATAATGTGGACAGAAATGATTAAAAATAAAAGCAGCAGACCAAAGCTAGCATACAATTGGTTGATGCACATCACTAAGAGGATATGAGCAGTTCTTTAATGAAGAGCAGGAGTGTAGGTCCACAAAGACTACATTTCCTTTTACCATCCTCTGCTGGGAAAAATCTGAATCTTTCAGAGGAACTAGAAGATACAAATACTCTTTAGAATTGCAGTAACATTCATATCATGGATGGGATAATATAGTGTGTCATGAAGACCTGAGCTTCTATTCGAAATCATTATCAGGACGATCTGTATTCGGCTCATCTGCAACGCAATGTTAGTGAACAAATAATATGAAAAAAATTATGATGTTAAACAGCTAAATTCACAGCTTAGGCACTTAGGTGTATATATAAGATGGAAAATGCAAGATAACCTAAGGTCTGAGGGGTAAGTCAAGGAAAAAGACACAGAGAGAGCAAACAAACTGAGGAATCTAGTAAGAGGAAAAGGGACAGAATAGAGTAAAGCCAGAATGCAAGTCAAGGTCCTGAAAACAACAGCAGCTTTTGCAACCTTCTGAACTATTAAGCAGAATACCAAATAGGAGAAGATAAAATGATTTATAATCATATGTACTGTTAATTTATGTTTGGTTTAGCAAGATTATGTGGCAACTGTGAACTAACCAATGCAGAAATAGAAAATTCAAACCCAAAACTGCAAGAAGCACAGAAAGTTACAGAATCCTCCCACACCACCATGAATCATGAACTGTTCTACAGTATGTTGCAGGCCTTGCCTGCCTCAATGATGACCCTCCATTGATCCCCTTCCATCACCTTTTCTTCCAGTTTTTAATTAGGAGAGTTCTTAAGTCTTGTTTAACACTATCAAGTGACCTTATGTGGGGGGGGGGGTCTACTCACTCTTCTATTGCCTTTCATCTTGGCAAATGTCATTTTATTGCAGAGATTTGATTTCTTCTATATAGGTGTGCCAGCCACCTCAGTCTTCCAGCCTTCACCACAAGTCATATTCTTTAATGGGGCTATATACTTTTCTTAGTATTTTCCTTTAAAATACTTCTAGTTTCATTTCATCCAGCTTTCACTTCTATATAAGAGAACAGGCCTCAAAAGTGATTTATATATATATAATTTACATTTGGAGTGTCACGGTAATACATCCTAGTTGTTTTCTAAGGCCATGGTAACATTTACTGGCCCCTACTAGCCACTGTTCCTCTCAAGAAAGAGAGCTGATAAATCACTTTGTATTTTAACTCTGAATATGTCTTCTTAGAGCTGCTGTGGTTAAGTTAATTTCATAGGTATCAAAACTCTTCCATAACCATGAACTGTCTCTCTTCGGATACTAACACTAATGTAGGCAGCTCTGAAGTCTATACAGAGGTGGAATGTGCTAATATTGTACTCTCAAGTTTTCTCCAAGATCTGTCTTATGGCATGTATTTGGTCTGCAGTTGTTCTGCCTATTCTAAAACCATTCTGATATTTCCCTAGTTTTTGTTCTACATGAAGTAACAGTCTCCTGCATATTACATTAGAAAAGGTTTTTTTTAGGCTGTATTAAGCAATGTGATACATCGAACAATTCAGCTCATTTCATTTCTCATGTACTGATTCCTTGATCACACTCATGAGGTATTTTTTGTCTGTTCTCCATGCTTTAATCATTATTTTATGTAGTTGAGCTATTAGTTCAGGTTCATATACATTTATAGGGTCAGCATCCAAGCGTACTACACATAAGATTAGTAAGGTGAACAGTGATATGTTGCATCTTAATTGAGCTCTGAAATGCAACTAAAGCAATTAAAAAGGAAATATCATTTGTACATTCACCGCTTAGTATCTGTTAGAGGGATAAGCACAGCTGTTTACTGGGGCATGGAAATAACAAGCAGACATATCATGCAAAAATTTTATGTGTATGATTTTCACACACACTCAGTCAAGACAGCTGTGCATTACCACTAGCTTCCAGGAGTAATTTTGTTACTTAATTTCGCTGAGCCATCAATCTGACCTTATAGACTGATTACAAGTTGCCACTTGATTACATTATCACATGTATGTGTGACTTATCGACTGGGTTTGAAGACTCAATTTATTGACCACTTACACACATAACTCAGAAGTACAAGTAATTACAGCGCCACACACCTAATCTCCACAATTCACAAATTACTAGAGCACCTGCTAAGAATTTTCCCAGCATGCTATGTCTTCACCTGGCAATGCCTTCTAACAGCGGAGATTCTTCAGCTCCAGGGTCTTATGCCATTGCTGGTTTGCTACCATCTCATAACTGAACCACAGTGCCATCCCTGTTCAGCCTCCCTTGCAGAATTCAACTCTCAACTCGCTGCTCCAACTTTCCTGGTTATAACATCCTGCCATGGTCCACAGAAAACACTGCCTTCAACAATCCCTCCACTGTTGGGCTTCCCATGTGATCGCTACTCAGTCAGTTCACTGGCGTGCTCACTGCTGCCCAGCAATGACTGTTGTATCGTTTGCTTCACAGTCCTTGCCTAACAATGGGTCTATATGCCACAATATTATTCTGGTTACTGTTTCTGTGCCATTTATTATTACTTGCATGTAATAGCTTTCAAAGTTATGAGAGACATGATTATATGATATTAAACAGGAAGGTATCAAAGATATTCCAGACCAAGACAAAGAATGGGATTGGTGAATACTCTGGTTGTAATCCATGTTAAATCTTTATGTTTCAGTTACCATCAATTTGGATATATTCAAACAACATATGATTAAACGCAAATGTAAATATAAGAGTCAATTCAGTTCCTAAACAATAGGGGTTTTGGAGGAAACTGTCAGCTTTATATTCTTACTGATTTAATTTTTGTTTGTTTTCAGTTTACTTAATGATACTTAAAATTTTTCAGATTATACCTGTATTATGATAAATAAGTGATTAGTAAATAATGAACTGGAATCGATGAGACAGGAAGTGGTCATGGCCTAACTTGACACAGGCCTTGCAAATATGAAGGAAGAACCTCTAGCATCCACTGATTGGCACCAGAGACAGTCTGGATGGATATGGTAGGGAAGAGAAGGAACCTCTGCATCTTCCAGGAATCATACCCTGATTTAAGTCTCTAACTAAAGCAGCATTGGCAGGTTGAATTTTAACTTGGGGGGGAAATAGTATTTACATTGAGAGCAATACAACTCAAGAACTGCTTGGGCCTGCCTGACCCATGCATATGCTGTGAAAGTAGTGACAAGCAAAGACAATAAAGGTTAAACTCATAACCACAATTTGTAACATTAAAACACAATGTGCTAATAAAGGTCTGAAATAAACTCCCACGGAAGTTGACGAATGATCAATGAAACATGTTAGAACAGAGAAAGGGTAAAGTAACAGCTATATTTGATGTTAAAATAAAAATAAAATGAATTATATTCCAGTTATGTAAGTGCAGAGAGATGTAGGTAGCCATGACAGATTTCTTATGTGCATGATAATTAATTTACTATAAAACTATGCATTTTCATTCTATATACTATGTAAATCTCACAGAAAGAATTAAACTATTAAAGTATTTAAAGTATTAAACTTAATTTGAAATGAAAAGTAAATTTATATGTGAAAGAATGTAATATTGAATAGGGCACACAACTGACTGACATTTCTCGTCATTAGCAGTGATATGGTTCAATTTTTGTAAAATGATTATTACAGAACCATAATAAGTATACTTCTCTTCACTAAATTGTGCTGTTTGTTTTGTGAAACTGTGACTGTTTTAGTAACCTCGCCACATGTATCCAGTAATTTCACAAGTATTATACACATTTTTATAGGGCCATTAATATTCAAACTACTGAGATTCGCAAGTCAGTGCAGCTACTGACGCCCATGTGTCCTTTCACTGCAATATTGCCATTTTATAATTATATTTAATCAGAAAAAGACTCACACACATTTTAGAGGGAGTTCAAAAATTAACTTGCCACCTTCTAAATATAGCTCTGTTAGAATCTGTGACACAATACATTATTTCTTTAGTCAGAACATGAATTCTTTCCTACAAATTTAAAAAGAGCAAACTGTCTTAAAATGCAATCCAACAAAAAATGTATAGGTAGCACACAGTATTTACCCTGTTGTATCAAAGCTACAAACATTGCTTCATACAGTGTGATTCTCTCACTAGGAAACTCAACATTCCTCAATAACTTCTTCATTTTTGTACGGTTCCCTATGAAAATTGACATGGACGAAGCTTATGTCTATTCAATCTTACCTTTCATCAAGATGGCACAACGTGCCACACATCCAATGCAAGCATGAGGGAAAGTGAAAGTTATTTCGGTGATGAATTAATTTTGAAAAGCTGTGGCTGTCAAGATCACAAGACCTGACATAACCTAATTTCTTCTTGCAGGGCTTACTGAAGGGCTGTGTATACAGCAATAAGCCACAAAAACTTGATGCCCTCAAAGACACGATATGGTGGGAGGTTGCTGCCATGACTGATGTCACATTACCAGATGTCTTCGGCAATTTCCAGACTCACATACAAAAGTGCTTGGATGCTGGATGGGGCAATTTTCAGCATATGCTCTAGAAGGACCTTGTTTTGCAACATACAAGGTAAGTACATGTCAATTTTTATAGGGAAGCATATCAAGGAACATTTGTGTTTCCTAGCAAGTGAAACACCATGTAGCTCTCAAGTGCAACAACTAATTTGACAATAATGCTGCAATACAACATGATACAAACTCGTAACTATTCTGAAGCAAGTTCCAATAAGTTTGGGATTATCCCATGCAGCTCTTTCTCATACTGAAGTGGTACTAACACACTGGTGACTTGAAACAGAATACAATTTTACTAATTAACAATGCCTTCTTTGTTTATTCTGTAGTGAAGAAAGATGAAGCCAGCCAAGAATGAGTACTTTGCAGTAATCAAAATGATAAAGGATAGGATGAACATTTAATACTGGTGGAGAAAAGGAAATGCACAAGAATTTCGGTGGAGAAAGCCCCTGGAAAATAACTATTTGGAAGATCAAGCATGAAATTGGATGATAGAGAAAGAGGTTATGAGGATGTGAATTGGATTAAAGTGGCTCAAGATTATATTCAATGGTAGGTTTCTATGATGGACACAGAATCTTTGGGTTTTACTATTGGGGAGTCACATACCAGCACCTTCCCTAATAAAACCATGTATCTCATATTTCAGAACTGAAAATTTGGCATATTTGAGCAAGTAATAGGAAATTACAGATACTGCATAAAGTCTTCAGTGCATCACTCATTTGCATAAATGAATTAAACAATTTAAAAAATTTCTAACTTCTGGGGTATAATGCCATGTAGTCTGGTGAAAGTCAAATTTTATTTTGGGGGAATGTGTTGCTTCGTCTACAGAGAGTTCTGCATTCTGATTGTTTTATGCTGGTTCATTGCTTGGCTTAATCTTCAACCCTGAGGACTGAGGTGACATGTTCTGAAATACTGGTCAACTTTCACTGGACTACACAATGTCATATCCACTTCTGTGAGAACCTCAAATCCTTAACAGTATGGTCTTAAAAAAGAAACAAATTCATAGTGGAGTATGGACAATTTTATGACCAATTCAGGATATATTCAGCTCATGATTTATTTCATCTATTGCTACAGAAGTGAGCTTTCCTTTTAATCATACAAACTAATTTGTGAACTGTGTCATGCAATGACAGATCACCAGTTCATCAGTGTGGTCCATGAACTGTTCTGTTACAAATTATCAGCACAAGACAAACATTTTATAATACTAGAAGTTATATTCTTTTAACATTTTGACACCTGCCCATACTGTAAGGGTAAAGGGCCCTACTCTCAGTGACAGGGTGATGCCAATGACGATGGAGGGCTTGATATACAATTCAGGAGGTTCCAATCTGACCCAGAACTTTCACTGTTTCTCAATAATGTGGAACTCCTGCATAGTTATTTAATATGTTCTTTCATCACACACACTTACCACTTTTGAACTATTCTGTTACAAACTGTCAGTGCAAGAAAAACATTTTATATTGCTTTGAGGGGTGTCTCTTCTTTGTTTTTCTTTATAACATTTTGGAATTCACCATATTGTAAGGGTGAAGGGCCCTTCTCTCAGTGACAAGATGGTGCTAATAGTGAGGGCTTGATACATATGCAAGTGGTTCAAATTTGACCCAGGATGGTCAAGGTTTCTCATAATAATGTGGAACTTCTGCACAGTTATTTAATGTTTCTTCTCCACACACTATCGACACTTGTGCATGTGCACTTAGTCATACTGCAAGAAGTCAGTAAGGTGAACAGCAATACGTAACCATATTTTTTTGTGAAAGAGGGCTTAAAACTGCCTGATATTCATCAGGGACTTAGAGTACAGTTTGGGATGGTGAAATGTCAAAAACATGGGTGTGTAAGTTGAGCATTGTATTGTAGTGTATTCAAGGACAGCTATGACACAGCAAGCAATTTCTTCCAACAGCTGCAAAACATCAGTCAATCACATGAACATTAACAAACTTGAGAAGCTTTTTCTTGAAAATGAACATGTTTCTGTGCATGATATCTTACAAGTGAATATCAGAATCTGAATCCCAAAGATGCTGTTTCAAGTATGAATCAACCTCATATTTCTCACATTCACAAAGTTTCGAAATCTCAGGGATAAGGACGGAATGTAGAAGAACCTGCTCTGAGTTCAGCTGGTCAAGAAGCTGGGACACTCCACTACCCAATTTCTAAAACCACTATGTACCCTGACCTTGAAGAGGAAAACTTCACAACCTGTGAAAATTTACCAGAAGGAAATTCACTGCCTAAACATTGAATAGAAATGTTTTCTTTTGATACCCAGAAGTATTAGAGGATTAGATCCATGCAGACAGGGTCTGAACCCAAAACAGGCAAAGAAAAGTGTGGTCAAGTAAAGATTATTATTATTATGATCAGTTCATGCTTATGTTCTGTATATTCTACTTAAGTGTATCTCAAAAGCATTTACTGTGCAGTTTGCAACAGCACTAACTCATCTGTCTCATATTTATGTTGTACTATATTTGAATTCCAGCATGGGATCAGCTACCTTAAACAAAAATTTTCATGGTTTTCCTCAGTCCTTCATGGATAATACTATCTTACAGGCGACCTCAATTATTTCCTGCCATGTTCTTCCCAGTTCATCCTCATAATCAATCATACATCACTTTAACACTACATAACCTCAGTAGGTAACTGAGTCAAAACATAACCAAATGAATGAATTACAAATAATTACAGTAATACAATGCTCCCTGTAATAACTGTATAATTCCAGTATCAGATTACAGATGTTACAATAATAGTGAGCTGTTATGAACTTCTGACTTAATAGAATGGTGAACTAACAAGATGTGATTGTTGAACATCAGCTTGACCAAAATGGTGAATCTAAGAGATCAAAGTACTCCAAAGTACATATTAAAATCATTTTCTTTCATGACCCAAAAACTCAGAACTCTTTGGGCAGCAAAATATACTGATGAAATCATATATACAAACCAAAAGCAAACAGTATAATAGGAACATATTCATACCACTTGCTCAGTGAATTCTATTGTCAAGCAATGTACTTTAGGATTTCTCTTTCACTTCTCACAGGATGAGAGAACAGACTTAAGTTCTGTATGACAAAGAGTCCTTTCATATCATCTGAGAGCAGACTGAGTTTGAAGTTCAGATTTGGGCTTCAGATGAACAAAATACAGCAGAATCACTCTTTGTATTTAAATTTAAACACAAAAATGTCTTTAATCTAATGAAATGTATTGAACCCAGAGTTCCACCGAGCCCACCTACTTTGGGAAAAAATGGTATAACAGTTTTGCTCCTTCAAACCAAACAGCTATAACTTAATACTGTACAGCTGGAGAATGTCATGTAACCCTGCTATATTAGTGAAAGCAAAAATGGTTTCAAGAATTCAACAGACCCAAGAAAATCTGCAACAAACCAATGGACAGATAACAAGTGACTAGGATTCTTGCACCGCCTGAGGCAGAGTCTGGGGCACGAATCCAATGACTTCTGTGTAGACAAGCTCTGCAAGAAATTAAGAGCAAATTACATACACTGTGTTGATGTGTTCACACTCTCTGCAGTAATGATTCATAGAGTGGGGGCATCTGAAATCAGTGCTGAGGAAAATATTTGAACTCAAGACAGAGCAAGTAACAGGAGAACACAAAATAGATAATAAGGTGTTCCATAATTTTTATTCATCTACTAGTATGGTCAGGATGATGAAATTAAAAACATGAGTGGATTATGTGGCACACATGAGAATTCAGGAACTGAAAGCAGGATCACTATGGGAAAGCCACAAGGAAAGAGATCACTTGGGACATCTACACTTACATAGGAGGATAATAACAGAATGTATCTTAACAAATAAGCTGTGAAGATTTGAACTGGACTCAACTGGCTTAGAATAAAGACCAACATAAAGGTGGCAGTCAGACCACTGGCAAGGCTGCAAGTGGTGAGGACTAGGGCTTCCATGGGAATGTGGTCACAGCAACTGGGCACCACAAGGCTGGACAACTTGTATGCTGGCAGTATGGGGGACTCACTCATCTTGAGACATACTGTCCACAAGAATGTGCGAAGGAGGATAGCCTGAGAGGCAGTCAGCTGTGGTTCAAGAAATGTGTAAGGGAGGGGACAAAGATGCCTGTGTCATTACCCCCTTGTCTCACACTTACTCCAACAGCCAAGAGAAGCAATGATGGCCTAAACGCTGACCGGATAAAGACAAGATATGCCTTGTCACCATCCACACTGAGCCATTGCCATGGCTGACATCACAGGAATGCCCTAGAGAGAATCAAGTCAGTTGTACATTCTGCAGATGGAATTACAAGAGATGCTTCCCATCCTGAAGGAGGCACCAGTAGAGCAGATTCTGGAGCAACACCCTCTACGGACCTGGGTGTCTGTCACTGATATCACTGATGAGTTAATCCTGAGACAGGACATCCTGCACACCCACGATGCATCTGTGTATTTGAAGCACTGCATGCTATGTGACTAAGTGAGGGAGAAGCGTCTGTATTGCATCCCTGGGTATGACCATGATCATTCTCGTGGGATTGCTCAGTGCTGGAGTCATGACTGTACAGCTGGAAGGCTGCCAACCAAAGAGAGCAGAGAGGACATGCCAGAATGGCTGAAGATCACTGGGACAGAACCATACCAATGAAGGTACAGTCTCCACAGGACCATGCCAAGACGAATGTACCCACTGCCAGAAGGTCAAAAGACAGGCAGGTAGACAAAAGGTGAAGGCCACTGCAGTTATGGCCACAGATGGTTTGGACTGTACCACCCTAAGGATGATGCAGCTGGAAGACCATAACATTGGGCCTGTTTTGTGGGAACTGGAGGCCGGACAGCATCGGTCGCAGCTGCACCTATGAGCGCTGCTGGGCCCAATAGAAATCCCTGACCATGAGGGATGCGTTACAGTGTTGCTGGCAGTCAGCAGATGGATGGACCTGAACAGCTAAAAATAATCCTTCCACAGAGCCAAATGAAGGAAATGCTGTCCAATTCAATGGAGGACTATTGGGAGGACATGTGGGTATCAACAGGACCCTGAACAAGGTTAAGTAACAGTACTACTGGTCACAGGCCAGGAACATCTTTGAAAGGAGGCGCCAGCAGGTTGCAGCTACTCACCAGGGCACCATTCAGAAGGGTGGCCACAGATGCAACAGAAGCCTCCCCTTAACACAATGATGACAGTAGTACACCTACAGACTAGCATCTTACGAGGATGCGTGTGGACACCAGCTTTAAATGAGGCAGCAATGTAACAGGGTACCAAAATCCTAAGTTTTGGAAGGTTGGGACAGCAGAAATATTGCAGGATGCCATTACTGGGCAACTACTGGAAACTACTGAAAGCATCATCTGAGACCCTAGTGACGGTATAGGAAGGGGTGTGTAGAAAGCAGGCTAGACCCAGTCAGTCAGCCTGCAATGACAGTGCCGAGAAAACATGTCGAGGATGACAGGGACGAGGGAAAAGATGACAACAGCGAAGAAGAGGTAACAAGAGAAGTCAAATGGCCAACTGCAATTATTTGTAACAAAGACTCAGTAGTGTCTATTAAATACATTTCCAACCACAATCCATGGCAGAGTCATTTCATGTGATGTTACTGTGAAATAAAAAACACATAATAACTTAATGCAAGCTAATCAGGGTCACAACTGTGGCCTTCAGTATCACCTGACTGCGCTTACAGTATACGTTCACATTATACACAACTGTGTCCTTCAGTATCACCTGACTGCGCTTACAGTATACGTTCACATTATACACAACTGTGGACAAAAATGGAAGTGTCTACTATGGAGCAGAAATGTCAATTCTAATTCTCTTTGTGAATGATCGGACATTTATGGCAAAGCATACATGACCTACAATAGTCAGTTCACAATAGAAGCAATAATCCCTGCTGATAAATACATACATTTTAATTAGTTACGGTATCTTATTCATATATTTGTGGATTAGTTAATGATGCTTTCAGAAGCTACACTGTATAATATCAAATGGATGGCTAGATGAATGACAGTTTCAAAAGGATTTGGAAGGAAGTCGTCACGGCCTAATCGAGGTATAATCAGAGGATTTTACTGGTGAAACTGAAGAAAATAAAAAAAGAACTCAGTCAGGATGGCCTATGTCCCAGCCATGATTCAAATCACAAATCCTAGTATGAGTCAAGAGTGATACCATTATATCAACTCATTCAGTTTAATGTTATCAGTACTGAAGAAGAAAAAAAAATTTGGCACTGTGGCTTCTGAAATACTCCATGGTGTGCCGCGAGTAGAAAAAGGTTGCGGAACACTTAAATAGAGATGCATACATAAGCCAGTTCTGCACTTCTGGGGACATAAATTTGGTAGTGTCTTGTTTCTTATTTACTAAGTGCATAAGACACTGCCGGTACAATCTTGCAGCTGGCCTAGGAGCACTGTGTTACATTTCATACTATGGGGGTGGACTGAGGATGAAGCTCTGTTGCACTCAGTTCCAACAGATTCTCAATTTAGTTACACATATTTTGAACCAAAGTCAGATGGAACTTTTGATGGTCTATTTTGCTACCAAAGGAAGATTAAAACAATGCAGATATTATAGTTACATGTTTTAGAGTTCCATCAAATAGGCGAAAAAATGCAACAGAATAGTTAACAGTAAACTGGAAAGAATTTCAGTGCTGGAGGCACTATAAGCTAGCTTGAAATACAGCAACATTTTACTGTTATGATATGCATATATGCTGTTGGAACAAAGCAATGTATGGCCCACGAAGGTTAACGATTTATGATATAATTTGGCTTATGAAGAAAAAGCAGATCTGAATGCAAGAACAGCGGTGTCAAAATCCTAGGTGTCATAAATCAACAAACCATTATCAGCTTTGAGACACACAAGAATCTGAATTTACAAAACACTTGTTAGATAACCATTACCATATGGCAATGAAGCATGGACCCTAAGGACTGATGTGAGAAGACTGAAATATATCTCTTGGGAGAGACAGTAAGTTCACCCTATGAATCATACAAAAAAATTGCATGACATCTGAAAGGAGTAAAGTAAAGTAAGTAAAGCTATCCCTGTAACAGGCCATGAAGGCCCATAGGGCTGTGAGACGTTAAGGGTCCCACATTATCTAGACAATCGGCCCAAAGATGGCAGTAAGGTTGTCAGCCTTACGCGCCGGCTGCGCTTTACTCCCCAGGAAAATTCTTTATTTAATTCTTGGTACTCATTAGAGGCTGAGTGAACCCCAGGGCCACAGTGCGGCCGGAAGGATTAGGTCAACTGAAAAAAATCCAATGACCTCCTTGGTATTTGAACACGCGACCTTCCAACTTGTAGCATAATGCCTTAACCACTACGCTACTGCATGCCCCCATCTGAAAGGAGACACCGAAAAAAAAATGTTCTGATAGGATTCCTCATGAAATGACAGATAATCAATCCAGACTGTGAAAACATTTAAGAGGATCTCCAAAATTACAGAAAGACTATTTTGTAACACCTCTAACAGAAAATTGGGAAAGATGATGATGGAAAGAATCACTGTGCTACACATACGATGTGTTAAATATTAGTACGTTTTATACATTCATTTAATTAGGAAACAAGCACAGAACTGTACAAGACACCTTTCCATGCCCATATATAATGCAGCAATGACTGTGACAATGATAGTCAAGAGTAAGATGCAATATGCTCTGAGGTGAAGTCCATACTGCTAGGTAGGATGAAGAGAATGCTTTCCTTCAGCATATTGGCTTTTCAGATGAGTACTGGCATCTATGAAGAAATAAATGCAATGTATGCTTCTTTCAATTTTGCCTTCATTCCATGAATGTCCTAAGTCTAGAGGGTTAAAATGATATTAAAAAACTAACCTTTCCATTTTTCTACTGGCAAATCCATGTCTTCGAAGCTCTGGTCATATGGTGCAGATACAGGTTCGTCTGAGGGATCAGCATACTGTGCCAGGTACTGGTGTGCAAGAGCATCTTCTGCAGTTATGCGTTTGTCTGCATCAAGCTCCAGCATTTTCTCCAGAAGGTCAATTGCTGTATCATCAAAAACAGAGGCACATTTCAAGGCATTACTTAATCACATGTTCTTAATGTTTCAAGTGAATTCAAAGTGTCTCTCCTGTGTGTGTGTGTGTGTCATTTAGTTTAATTCAGTTCAAACTGTTGAGCATCATCTCATAATGAGGGCAATGCTACTGCTTGCTTCTGTACATGCTGTGTAACTCCCACACTGAGGAGTCACTTTCAAAGGCATAACCTGATTATCTGAACACTAATTTCCTCTATATGCAGCAGTAAAAGCTACTGTCTCCCGGAGAAATATAAATACGGGTCAGGCAATACATTGTGAAAATGAGCTGACATCATCACACAATAAATATAAGGTCCAAAATGGAGGCTACCACGACACTTAAAAGAACTGGGATAGCTCAGTCAGTATAGCCATGGGCTACAGGCTGGACAGTGGGGGTTCCCTTGGCAGGAGCAGTGTCCAGATGAGCTCTGATGCCCATCCAGCCTCCTACGCAATTCTGTATTTCAGCATCCCACTGCACGTATTTAATTAAACATCTATGTATCCACAGTCCATCAATAATGCAACAATGAAATGCCAAAACATGTTGAGTGTTAAATGGTGAATATTTTAATAGTTGTTGCATTATTGATGGACTTGATACATAGACTCATACTCCATGCTTACCAGGGGCTCTTTCCTTGGAAATAAAATGGTTAGGGCATGATGTGAACCACTCACCTCCATCTAGTGCCAAGGTCAATAATGGTGGACCTATATCTCCACTACCCAATACATCTTCACGGCATGGTGCTTAATTAATTAAGCACTTGGACAACTTTACCTCTACCTTTCTACCAATGTATTTTAAAGCCAAAATGAAATAGTAAATGAGTGACATGCAAATGCACCATAAAATCACATGACACTACATGAATACAAAAAAGTTTGAGCCTAAAATACAGTTTATCACTTTGAGAACTTAAGGGGGGGTGGGGTGGGATGGGCAAGTTAGCCATGAAATGATTAAGAAACGCACACCTGCACCCAACACATTTGTACACGTAAATAACTAAATATTAATGTATAGCTTTGGAAAGCCACACAGCTACCACCTTCAGGNGGGGGGGGGGGTTGGCAGCTCTTACAAACATATTGTATTAGGCAGTGTGTCTGAGGTGAAGCTATGATTGGATGAAAAGAGGAACAGGAAGCTAACCAGTATGAAGCAATCACATGGCTAGTGAAAAGACACCATGAAAAATGTTTTGGCAACAAGGTGGTCCTAAGCAAAGGTGAAGACAAATATTCCAATAGCCCTGTGTTTAGGACATGATGTGATGGAAAACTTTTTCCTACTACTCCCCCCTCTTCCTTAAACATGGATGGGAAAGTGAGTTCAGCAATTCAGATCTAAAATTTTGTGACGATGGTATATTTATAGAATGAATGACTTTTTGGACACTATCCATCTGCCTGGTTTTATTTACTCAGCCCAACTGAGGAAGGTTTTACCTGAGGGTGGAGATAGAGTCCAGTCTCTAAAGTTTAGTGGTGACTGGATGAAGTGGCTCAGTAGTGGGTTTGGAGAGGAAGAAATGAAGCCTGGCTGTACTCAATCTGTATCTGTATTTCCAGTTACAGTTATGGCAGTATTTTCTTATTTCAATTGATTCCCTTATGATGCTAAGAGGATAATTGAAGAAGTCAATCACTACACATTTCTTACATCTAAAGGGATGTCTTGATGCATTTCACACTTACCAAGTGGGTTAGCTCCCTTGAAAACATCCCTGAAGTCCTTCTTTTTAAGTGGGGGCAAAGACTGGATATAGTTTCGAGCCTATGACAATCCAAGAAAAGAATTAATCATATTCTTAAAATTTAACACATACAACATATTTTCCATTTATAACTTTACATGTGCTGTTTACTTTTTAATAAAATGGAATTATTTGAAAATGCATCTAACGACATATTTATGGTATAAATTATCAGCAATCCCTTCCATGTGTTCATCTTTGTGATATGAGTGAAAATTTCCATCTCCCTGTCATATCTTATTTCAGTTAATGTTTATACTTGTTTGAACTACATTAATGTAACTTGAACCATATTTTCTGATTTATGTAAACATCTATATTTGCTTCTTAAGCTGGAAAAAATTACTACTGTCTACCCTTTCAGAAAGAATGAGTGAATTATGAGGAAGTGATTATTTCTTGAAAAATAATTAATTCCATAATATTTGGATATCTTAAACTTCGTTAATTTGTGTGCATTCTTGTGGCTGAAACAGGCACTAAACATTACCTACACAAAGACCTCCACATCTGTAAGTACCTGGGTATTATGAAGCAACAGGAATTAAATAATCCCCTGACCCATACAACTGTGTATAGCAGACTAGATTATCTGCTCTGTAGATTAACTACAGGACTTTCAATACCTCCTAGCTACTAATTATAACTTACTGACCTAAATGCTGCCTGCTAAAAACCATCTGCTTCAGTAACATGTATCAGTAATGCTTCACACTCATTTGCAGTAGACTGAGTATCTTCTCACCCTGTTGCAACTTTCTGTGTCATTGTTTCAGTGCTTTCCGAACTGCCTTCTTCTATTGGAAATATTTTGCCTCTCTGTTTAATGTAAAGCAGCATGATCAATAAGCAACAATTAGGTGATTTTCATGGTTTAATGCAGCACAGACAGTGAGTATTCTCATGTTGTTTTTAACTATATGTATTACTTATCACCTCAATTAGCGGCCTCCGTAGTCTAGAGGTAATGTTCCCACCTCATTACTCGTAGTACGCAGGTTCAAATACCCGGCGGAGGTCATCAAATTTTTAAGGGCGGAAAAATTCAGAGAACAAGTCCTCCGGGAGGGACTTTAAGCCGTGGGTCCCGTGTCGTAGCTTTACGGCACATAAAAGAACCTTATATCTCCAAAGGTCACTGAGCCAAATTAACGGACGTTTCCCGCCCAACAGCAGTCTCTAATACCTCTGGTAGATGGGGGAAGCATTATAGATACCTCTCAGCTAGTAGAGCCGGTCTCGCTGGCTGGGCGGGACCGATGGTAAGCACCAGTACCAGTAGGATATAGAGACTGGTAGAAATCACAGAGGGAAGCACAATGGACCGATACAGGTCTCAGTGCATGGGGAAACCCACCCTCTCCAATAACTAACTAACTAACTAACTAACTAACTATCACCTCCATTACCATGGCTAAATGAAAGTCCCCTATGTTTAGTGTCTGAAAGGGCTACTTGGAGTAAGAGCCTCACTACCTGCTGAAACAGCCCCCACCCCACAAATAAATATAAGGCATATACAATGCGTTCAATGTTCGAGGAAACCTGGCAACACCGTGGAGCAGGCACGTTTCTCACAAATTGCTGCTGTAACTGCCGATAGCAAAATGAGTAAATTTCGCTGATAAATGTGTGCCGTCAGTTGGTCAGATCTTGTCACTGCATTAATAGTCAGTCTGTGTTAGAGGTGTCGATAGGTGGTCGACATTTATACTAAAATGAAGTTCACTACTGAACAGCCTGTTTACTTCAAAACTTTTGCAAGGAAAAAAAACTTACAGAAAATGTTTCCACAAGTTTTGCTGTATATATCCTGACTCACCAGTTCCCACAAAGTCGTGTGTATCCAAGTTTGAGAAAAAGTGGCAGGCAACAGGCTCAGTGTGTGACATAAAGAAGCAATCAAAGAGGACTGTGCTGACTAGAGAAAAGGTTCTGGATACTGAGGCACGGCTACAGATCAGTCCTTGAAAATCATTAAGATGCTTAGCACAGGAAACAGGAGTTTCGCTATGATTTGCTTTCACAGCCACAAAATTCAACAAATTTTGCCCCTATACAATAACAGTTGTGCATGAGCTGAAACAACCAGATTATGCAGCAAGAATTCGATTTTGCAATTGGCTGCTGCAGAATGTGCACGATGGAACTGTGGATCCACAGCTACTGTTCATGACCGATGAAGCATGGTTTCACGTTAGTGGTCATGTTAATGAACAAAATGTAAGAATATGGAGGGATGAAAATACACTATACAACAAATGCCATTACATAGTGGAAAGGTGGGCGTGTGGCATGTTGTAAGTCTGCGGTAACTCACTGGCCCTTTATTTTTCCACGAAACCGTGAACTCTGACCACTACATTAATGATATACTGAATCTATTCTTCAATCAGCTGACTGCTGAAGAAAGACAATGCGGATATTTTCAGAAAGACAACACTACAGCACATACGGCTAATGTAACCATGGACGCAATATGGGAAGTGTTTGAAGACAATAATTAGCAGGGGACTATGGCCTCCCAGATCCCCAGATCTCAGTTTTTGCGATTCTTATCTTGGGGAAACCTAAAGAGAAGTCTATAAGAATAATCCTTGCACCACTGAAGCTCTGCAGAATGAAATAACATGCGTAATTAGTTAAATTACCATGGACCAACTTCAGAAAGTGTTGCATAATTTATTCATGCGATGCGAGGCATGTCTTCAAGCAGAAGGGTGTCACTTTCAGCACCTGTTATAAAGCACAATAAGTTGGTGTTATCTTTTTACAGTATTTGTATAAAAGTGTGCATGTACAGAAACTGATGTGAGGGAATCGGTGACATGACTGCACTCTCACTAGCGGGGAAGGGCACAATAGTTGAGGAGAAACGTTCCATCCGCTCTATGCTAACAAGAGTGCATGCGTTTATCAGCACTAATGACTCATTCTGCCATCGGCAGTTACAGCAGCAATCTGTGAGAAATCATGTATCCAACCCATGCTGCTGCCAGGTTTCCTCGATGATTGAACACCCTGTATTTCATTTATTACTTTTTATTTACATATTTATTTTGATAGATTTGTTCTAAATTAAATTTTTACAATCTTTCTATTAACACTTGTGTGCTTTATATTGACTACCAATATTACATGCCTTAAAATAAAAGTTAATGTGTATGTTCAGTTAATGTTAAAGGTAAATTAAAATTCCAAGCCAATTACTTTAAATGTACACTGACCAACAGATCTCAAATTTTTCTGTGAAATGTAAAATATACAAGTCATATTTATATTCAGTGGTCAAAGCGAAATAATTTTACACTGAGCAGTGAAATGAAAGGCTGCCAGAATAAACAATAATAATACTACAGGATCATTACCAAGCAAATATGTTTTTGTCACAGTATTCTAAATGACATACATGGATGTAAGTTTTGAGGTTCTGATATACATGGATCTTCAATAACTGGATCTGTAAAACATTTTGATCCTGAGTCTGTTCAGGATATGCATAAACAAAAATTCCAAGATGGGAAGACTTGGTAACTTCTTAAATCTGTTACTTCTAACTTTTTGTAGAAATAACAGCTACTGGACACAAATGAGGTTCATATTTGTGTAAAAAATATGAAGCTGCAGATAAGAAAATGAAAGACGTTATTTTAGTTTCCTGACTCAACCTATTTGATTTGAGACCCTTTGGTTCATACAAAATACAAAGCCATTACCTCTTCACTCGTTATTTTGGCAACTGTTTCCTTTGCAGGAGTACCACAGAGCACTAGGATGCGGGTTAGGTGATCAATGTCTGGGCAAAACATCATGTTAAGGAGCACAATAAGCCACAATGACATCAGTGAATATGCTGACCTCACATGTTTTGAGTTAGTTTCTGTGATGAACTATTACGGGATGCAGCAGTGACACACTCCATTTCATGGTGTGTTTGTAAGAATTTTGTCCACCTGAAAGTGGGTAGCTCCACTTCTTGTAAGTGCTGGAAAGGTAGACACTCAAACATTTCCCTCTTTGGCACAACATATACAATGTGATATACAGCTTTCTGATCAGGCTTCCTCAGCAAAGAGACAAATATGCCTGTAGGCTGTTTGACAAACAAGGTGAAGCACCCACTCTACATAGTTATGGAATGAGTCACCAAAACGTGTAAGACTATTCTATGATCAGTCATTCCCATCCACTGAATCACATCCATGTGAGGCACTGTAAAGTTCATCACAAAGACAGGCTTGTACTGTGGAGGTGGCACATAATTTTTAAAATGCATTTCAGTGACTACACTGGATATCCTGTAACAACTACATCTATTGATAATATGTATTACACGTCCCTTCCACAGAAACTGTATAAAAGGAATGCACCAAGGGGAGGTAATTCCTATATATGTTTTATTTTCAGTGGACAGATTTTGATTACAATTGACATCTGAAAATCAGGCCAATTACATTATGGTCTATGTCTACAAGCTGTAAACTGATATTTTGGATATGTAACAAAATTTATAAAGAAAACAATTTATGCCAGTATGTCAGTACCGTTAAATAACTTTGTCAGGTGTCACTAATAAGCTTCATGCTCTGAAGGAAAGAACTCTAGGGACAGGGGTTGGGACTGACTTAGAGCACAAAAAATACAGATCAAGGAATTTTAAATTTGAGATTTGTCATTCTTGTGGTAGTGACAATAAAGATTAATATCTTCTGGGATATGATGCTATGTAGTCTGGCTGAAGTTTACCTACATTTTGGAGGAATGTACTTCAATCTTCAGGCTCCTATCCTGAAGATGGAGACAGGATGTTTCTACAAACCAATGGCAAACTTCTAAAAGACTGTACAGCCACATCCAAGAAGACAGTAATCTTCAGCTTTACATTTCTTGAATTAAAGGAAACAATATATTAATAGCACTGAATCTGATACTGCCAATTCTACTGCCATTAGAGGTGTTAAGTGATTAATATTTATCCACTAATTGCATACCATTAAGTAATAAATCAGAAAACTAAGAAAGACAGAAAACCAAGGCAAGTAATTATCACTGTTAAGATCACTAACATTTCTAGCTGTCTAAAACTAAGAAAATCTGCCTTTCAGGGCATTCCAGTGACAGACAAAGAGATGAATGACAGATGGATTACTTGGAAGATCAGGTTTATATTCAAATACCTTGAATTACATTCTCAACACGAACTTAGCAATATAAAGTATTGTATGATATACGTCCCATATGAAATCGGGAAATGACTGTGCATTATAACCATTTATAAGAAGAAATAATCAACAGTTAAGATATAGATTAACCAGATCAATGAATTACACTGAATTTACATAAATCACTAGCTATAATACACACACAATTAAGAATGTCAGTGTATTCTAAAACTTCCATCAGACAAGGTACAGGTGTGTGAAATATTTTATCAGAAACAGTTCTGTACTGTTAAGATGTTGTCAGTTCCCATGCAGGCAACCAACAAGGTGGGGAACCATCCCTTGGCCAGGATCCACAAAATACTGATAGAAGTAGGATATGTAAGATTTGATGTTATACCAAGTTATAGTGACACGGGACCAACAACAGCACAATCTGAAGAAAAAAGCAAATGCTAAGACAAGCACTGAGACTTAACACTGTGTTTATCAGAAGCTACTGGATTATTTTATGACACATACAGTACTGAATGGCACACTGATTATGATGAATTCAGGATTTGGACATGGCCTATGATAAGATACTATTCAACTATTTTCCCTGTTTGAACAGGAAAGCTGGCATCAAATTGGGTCCCTCTAAATTATAAAACAGACATGAAAACCAATATATCAGATGACAGTATTCCAAAAACATAAATCAAATGAAGAAAGCAGTCTTCTGGGATTTGGCACCGTGTATATGTGGTGTTAACCGACTTTTCGGAGGAACGTATCGCCTCCATCTTCAGGGTAGAAGAAAAAGTATAAGAAATCTGCAAGCGACAAGACCGTGAGAACGGTAAAAGCAGATACAACTAAATTACAACAAAGATAACCAAAATGAAGTGATAAAACATGCACCACCCTTATACATAAAGATTAAAGTATTAAGCAACTACAAAACATAACACATATCCCTTAAAAGCTGGGGGGGGGGGCTGACAGTGAAACAGATTGTACTTCGAGATAACTGGATTCACAGTAGTGTATGCAGACAATGATACTCATAAGTACAGTGCAGCATGTATGCCTGGTGTATTATTCCTTATCCTTTCAAAAACTTACTTCAGATTTTGAATGGCTGCAAGCTGCAGTGTGAGAGAGAAGCATGTCACAAGTTGTCCTCAGTGGCCATAAAATAAGTGTAAAATGAGACTAGAACACTTTCATCACTTTGTTATGTTATCAAACATGATTATTCCATTAAATTATTCATAACTATGTAATTATCTAAATGGAAATGTAAAACATTAATATGAAACATTTTACCCCAATTTCCCATCCATGTCTTCAGGGCCAGGTGACGCCAAGAAAACCCAGTTATTACATTAAGAACAATGGACAACAAATCAGAATAATAATATATTTCTTTATTGCCCCATGACCACTTCATCCTCAGCAACAAGACTGCTAATATCTCTGAAGTATTGGCAAACTAGGCAGCAACAATATGACATCACCACTCAATAACATGGAAACACATATATATATATATATATAGGAATTATGTCTACCGTCAACACAACAAATATACTCAGTTTTAATTTCAATCTTTATTGCTGCTACATGTTTCGGTCATATAAGACCAACATCATGCAGTTATACACAGAAATACGTATAGTCATTGAAATACCGATATGGATCCCTATTGGTGCAATGCAGCATATTGTATACTAACATAAAATATTATATTTAAGCATCCTGTTGCACTCTACACGATAAATGATATAAACTCCATCCCAAGTGCAAACAATATATTGTATGTCCTTGATCTTGCTCTCCTTTACACTACATGTTTCGGCCTCAAACGGCCATCATCAGGTGTATACACTCACGGAGCTGTTACACTGCACTTAGTTTAAAATTTAACATTTAAAAACACATTGTTCCTTTCCTTGTTATTATCAACATCTACTTCATTGATATCTGTGTGGTTTATAGATTATTTTACACACGTTAATTTTGATTTTCCTGTAGTAGCACTATAAAATCTTTAGTTCTAATTTTAAAATCCTTTAACATTTTTCTCTAAATTTTAAAATTTATAGTGCTACTGGGCATGTATGTTGTTTGTAGGTCTCTGTTGCAGAAGCTTTCTACGTAGTAAGCCTGGCTGTGAAGCCCAAAGACAAGTTTCTATGATGTACGAGTTGTTAGTGTGTGGATACTGCTATGCTATTCCCATGATATGTATCTTTATATAATCATACAATGTGGCGTATGCATTTCTTGTCTGAGCATATATACATTTGGTGTGTTCTACACATTTCTAATTTCAACATTCTTAAAGGCACTGATCACTAAATTCTACCAATAATAAAAACTCACAAGCAACATTACCATACTGAATTACTTACTGCACCTTGTGGATAAAGTTCTTTCACAGTGACCTCTTTAGGCTATAGTTACTGTTTTCAGATGTAGCAAAAATCATTATTTTTATTCCTTTTCTGCACTTTCCATGCCCCCAAAACATGTTATGTGGTGCTGTTTGACACTCTCACGCATCCTTATTCTTTAAACATATACAGAAAACATGTACCAGAGAGCTGACAAAAGTCTAGCCTATGAATCTTACAAATGCAAATGTGACTGAAATTATTTAAACATAAACAGTTTGATGCACTCCCTGATATTTGACAAGAACATGTCTCCTCTCCTCCACAGTGCTTGGAAGTAACATTCTAATCGTTTCTTGATTTCTTTTTAGTGAAAAAAAAATCAAAACTGCAATAGAAAAACCAAATGCACAACAAACCTTTTCTGCTCTGGAATCTAATAGAGAGATCAGGCATAAAAGTGACACCAGCGCTGGAGGAGGAAATTAGTGAGAGAAACATAATGTATCATGCACTATGAAAAGTGAGTAGCCATAGCAATCATTATGAACAGAACAAATGTTACTTACAGATTCGCTGGAAATTTTCTGCATAAACTCCTCATGGGGGGTGCCCAATATCTCCATGATAAGGTTTAGCTGGTGGATATCTACAACCAGTGCTAAGGGCTCACAACGAAAGAAGAAGAACAGACTGTATTAAATTTCAAATTTAACACAGTCCTGATTCAGGGTTCCCAACAAACTACAACATGTCACAAAAATATGACTGTATCTTGATTCATTTAATGAGGTTGCATGCATAGGTTAAATATTACAGGATGAGCAATTGGTGATGAAAAAATTCAGAATTATGTGTTGGAAAGGTGACGAGGAAATACCAATCTTTTTGAATGCAGCATGATGATGTCTACCTGCAGTGAATGAGGGAAAACAATGAAAAATGATTTTCTGTAGATATCTCATTAGATCATGAGGGAGTAAGCTCCTTTCAAATTAATCTTGTAATAAAAGGCACTGACAGAAATACAGAAATATAAATGCAAAGTCTGCAGCATCCATGCAGTAGTATATAGTATGTCCTCCCTCCCAGACTTATTATATTACAAGCAGTGGATAAATGGCACATAAAGCAACTAGTCTGAGAGCATCAAAGATACAACACAGGGCCTCTATTACTACAACATTCTCACAATGTGAACTTCCTGAAAATGTCTGTACTTTGTGAATATATAGAAGAAACAGAACAACCCTCATGAATATATTTAAAAAATATGCCAAACATATCCAAAATTTTACAAAACAGGAAATGAATGTAGTGAAGCAGGTATAGAATTTCATATACATACAACTGGTACCCTTACATTTAAAATTTACCATTATTTAACGCATGATTTCTACAGTGTCAATTCTTATAAACTTTCTACGTTTAAAATTATCCTCACCTTCACACAAGGAAACTTAACTTGGAGAAAAAGATATTGAAATTAGTTGTCCTCATAACTACAATTTGTTTCTCAGCAGGAATGTATAAAAACGTATTTCCAGACCTAGAGTTTAAGCACATTATAAAATACACTTTACATAAATAATGCCTTTAGCTATCATTTAGTCAAGCTTCCTAGCCTCTGCCACCTCAACAATAGGATGATGAATGACAGAGTGCTCTTACAAACACTGAAGGCCAGGAATTCCCCACATTCTTGAAGTCTAGACTTGGTTAGAGGAAAGAGGAAGAAGGGATGTATAGAAAAAGCCACTCTTTTAAGTTCTTTACCCCCAGACCACTTGGTTCCCTATATCAGGACTTCTCAGAATGTCATACAAAGGCAGCTTGCCATGATCAGCAATCCCATTGTGAATTGTTAATTATCCCAGTATCATCTATCCCAGTAACAGGCTGTGAAGGCCCACAGAGTTTTGTGAGACGTTGAGGCTCCCACATTTTGTTTAGACAGTTGGCTCACAGATGGCGGCAAGGTTGTCAGCCTTATGCACCGGTTGCCCTTTACCCCCCAGGCAGATTCCTGGTACTCATTTCTGTTAGAGGCTGAGTCAACCCCAGGGCCATAGTGCAGCTGGAAGGATTAGGTGAATTAAAAAAAAAATCAACCTCATCAGGACTTCAACCTGTAACCTTCCTGCTTGTAGCATAGTGCCTCAACAAACTATGCTATCACATGCTCCCAAATTGTTAACTGTGCATTTTATTTTTATTCTAAATCAATTCAGAATAAGCTGATATATGGTAGACATAAAACTAAACATTTTCATTTACAGGTTATAATAAGAGAATAAAAAAAAATTAATTGATGCATTCCTNCCCCCCCCCCAATTTCAGATATATAACTTTCAGGTACCAAGCACACAATGTTTCCAACCCACTGCCCTAGACCATATCTTAGTTCGACAAAATCATCCCTGTGTAATATATCACAATAACCATTCTCTATATTATAATCTGAAGTCCTTAAATTGTGGTAACTCTGAAGTGACTTACAGAACCCTTTCCTATAATTATAAGAAGTCTAAGCCTAAGAAGACAAACATTATGCAATATCTTGTGAAAGAAAAGCCCTATATTGTTATGGGGCCTAATTAATTAAATTTAAAGGTTTTCTTGCTTTTAGGTTGGACCTCCTGCAAAACTGCCAGAAACAATTACTGACAATATTAAGGAGTCAACAGTTTTTTCCTTGGCCTCTCTAAATAACATAAGAAAAACAATATGCATAAAACACATCTGTTGTAGGCAAGAAAAGATTAAATAACAAACATCAGGCATTTTGATTTATAACTGATAAAGCTGCAGAAAGTTATTTGAAGTTAACAACCTAGTGACTTTCTACTCATTACAAGGTCTGATTAAACATTTTTGGGGCTGGCGTTAGTTATTTAGAGAGGGTGGGTTTCCCCATGCACCGCGACCAGTTTGATCTATTGTGCTTCCCTCTATGATGTTCTACCAGTCTCTATACCCTACCGATAAATGGTGCGTACCATCAGTCCCGCCGAGCAAGAGAGTTCGGCCACTTGCTTAGCGGTATCTATAATGCTTCCCCCATCTATCAGAGGCCTTAGAGACTATTGTTGGGCGGGGAACGTCCTGGAATATGGCTCAGTGATCCCCTTTGGGGATATGAGGTTCTTTTACGTGCCATACAATTACGACACGGGACACACAGCTTAAAGTCCCTCCCGGAGGACTTGTTCCCTGAATTTTTCCGCCCTTAAAAATTTGATGACCTCCACCGGGTATTTGAACCCGCATACCACGAGTCATGTGGTGGGAACGTTACCTCTAGACTACGGAGGCCGCTTGGGGCTGGCGTTAGTATTGGGATATTAAACCTATAGGAAGAATTTAAGTAAGTGGCATAGTTCAAAATTTGCTTACTTTGACCCTCTGGCATACAGCGGCCATGGTGTCTTAACCTTTTACAACAAAATAGCTGATTCACTCTCTTGATGGCAAAAATTCCAAAAAAAATTATGCATCTTTCACCTGTCCACAATGGAGAACCAGTTACTCCTCTTCACAAGGATATGGTTTTCATTCAATGTGGAGAGTATCAACAAAATTCATTCATCATGTGACAATAAAGATACCTCACCATGTGCCTGAAGAAACTCAACATTTCTCTGGTTTCATACCGACAATACATGCAGACCCTGGCTTTGATTCTTCTCTTACCCCAAACTGCCAAAAATATCCTAAATGGAAACACATTTCTAGATATGCCAGAGATATCAGAAAATATAAGATCACTAAGAAAGAAGAATTTCACAAATGTTCCATCTGAACAGACCTCGTGTATCACTAAACAATGCAATTACAGGGTAAAAACTGATGTGGAATGAAATATCATAAAATTTGTTATGCAAGAGCATTATGCATAGCCAACATTTGTCATTGGAAATTCATGAGATGATTCCCACAGGCACACCATTTTTGCAGCAATATTGTACTTATTTGCATAATTTATGCCTACTCTTAGATATGACAATTTGGGGGGGGGGTATTTTCATTTCCATGTTTATCAAGGAATCACATAGTGAATTCTGTAGGTATGAATATAAATAACATGTTACTACACTGCATTCAACTGCAGTAGCCGCAGTCTAGATGTAAAATTATACTCTATGGACCACAACTTTTAGACATGACATTTTGGCTAAAAATTTATATAAATTATGGAGGTAAATATGGGATACCTATACTTTTATGAAGTTTCTATAAATGCTGCTTATACTGATCTCTAAAGAAACTGCACTGTGAGACCCTTCAACAAAAAGATGTGTGATATTCAGACTTTGTTACTATGGATCTGAATGTATTAATGGCAACTGACAGTTCACTTATTTCATATTATGAGAATTTGAGTCATTGCTGCTGGGAACCCCAAAAGAAGTGAATATGTGAAAGAAAACAGATCATGCCCCATCATGCATCTTCTTTAAAGAGCACTCTGACTCTGCCCTTCAGACTCCAATACAGAACTGAATTGGTTGCCCCTTTGGCATGACCCACATAGGCAACACACCGTTCATTTTTGAATGCCAACCATTTCTATGGAATGTGTTCATGTCACCAAGCAACAGGATGCACAACCCTGTTTATTAAAAATCTGCTGTCCCAGCAACAGGCATTGTATCATGACCATTATCAAGCAATGGGCCTACATGCTACAATATCAATACTTTAAAACTTAATCAATTAGGTAAAAAACAAACTGGCAATAAAGTTCTTCATTCTTACCTAACAAAGCATTATTGTCACTGTAAAACGGCAGAAAGACATTTACAGACATGAAGAAAACAGAAACACATAATAATAAAAAAAACGATTAACAACTGGGCTCCAATTCCTGGCAGGGGCTGCGATTTAACTGTTCACCAGCACCTTCACACTGACTTTAGGGCCAACTCAGCCCCAAGCCCAATGGATACGGTGGGATCCTTCCATGGGTTAAAGCAGCATAAGCTTGAAAATCACCTCACACCTACATCCAGTGGCAATTTTAACATTTAAGAGAGAGAGCATTTAATGTTATATTTTAGCATCCTGTTGCACTGATTTATGTCCATGATTTATTCCAGCCATCTTACAGTGCATACACTCATCCACTTCACTCTTCACTCCCGCACTACATGTTTCGGCACAAAGGTGCCATCTTCAGGTGCTTTTTGATTTACGTTAAACTATTTCACTGCATGCCTTGCCGTCTTCATATTAAAATAACTAAAATATATGTTCATCATATATATTGATAAATATTAAATATTAAAAATATTAAAACTGTTCAGGATTTTGCAAGACACAACACAAAGCACAATTGAGTATTAAAAATTATAATACCACAAGTAATAAATAAAATACGGAACGCGGTAATAATGAATAACAAAATTACATTCCAGATACACACACGAAAGTAGGAAAAGTGCTCCGATAGAAGAGGATAGGTGTGACTCGCGTATTGAGATGCGACGTAGGGATAAAAAACCCTGAACAGTTTTAATATTTAACATTTATCAATATATATGATGAACATATATTTTAGTTATTTTAATATGAAGACGGCAAGGCATGCAGTGAAATAGTTTAACGTAAATCAAAAAGCATCTGAAGATGGCACCTTTGTGCCGAAACATGTAGTGTGGGAGTGAAGAGTGAAGTGGATGAGTGTATGCACTGTAAGAAGGCTGGAATAAATCATGGAGAGAGCATTTATATGCCCAGCATATTAGTTTATGGCCTGAGATATTAAATGACCTGAAATATCCAAAATGCGGTTGTTCACAATATAAACTGTGTTTATTTCGTTTTTAACCTCTGAGCTCCAGGTAAAAATGGGAGTGTTAAGAATTAACCAATTTACCTATACTCAAAAATTTTAAAGACTCGTGTGTGTGTGTGTGTGTATGTGTGTGCATGCATGAGCACACAGTTTACATTACTTTTAGAATAAGTACGCACCAGTACCAGTAGGGTATGGAGACAGTAGAAATTAAAGGGGGATGCACAATGGACCACTAACCGGTCTAAGTGCATGGGGAAACCCACCCCCTCAATGCGGAATATGGAAATGTTATACAGGACCTTGGACTTAGGCAGAATTTGTGAACAAGCAAGACCATGAAACTTGTGAGGCATAACAAAATTTGATTAAACAGAAATTATAATAAGATCCATGTTGGTAATACAACTTATCTGTTGCATTTTCCATTCCTGTTTTAGCCAAGAGATGCTTCATTGCCAATGTGTTTCAAGTCTGCTTTAGAATAAGTACTAATAACACATTCTAAGGCAGAGTTAGGGAAGTCCAGGAAAATAAGGTGGGCCTGACAATGAATGGGTTATATCAGCTTCTCGTCTATGCTGATGATATTAATTTAATGGCCAAAACAAAAATAACCAGTGACAAAAAAGAAAGAAAGAAAGAAAGAAACTCTAGTCAATGTTAATATGGAGGCTAATTCAAAAACAAATTCTGAGATAACTATATGTATGTTCATGCCTTGCCACAAGAATGCAGGACACAATCAAAAACGTGTCAACTTCTAATGTTTGGAAATGATAACAAAGATGAAAGTATCCATGCATTTAATTAAGCATAATGGAATGAAAAAGGACTGGAGAGTGGAGGTGTTCAACTCCATGTAAACTTAAATTCAGTGCTAGATGGATGAGGTTTGTCAGGAGAACACTCTGTGTTATCCCCAGAGAAAGGTTACCTGGTGGCTACCTGAATCTTATGAAAGTAAAATAGGAAGGTGTAAACTGGCTTCATCTGGTTCTGAACAGGATCCAGTGATGAGCTCTTGTGAACAAAGTAACAGACTTTCGGTTCCATGAGAGGTGCAGGATTTCCTGCCTAGCTGAGCAACCAATATATTCTCATTAAGGACTCTTAAATATGTATGTATGTATTTATGTAAGGGGTGAACCACAAAAACTGGCACCCACACTGTGACATTCAATGATCTATTGTGCTTAAGGACTCTAAATATGTACTTACTTAGATGAGAGGACACTAACTATTTTTGTCTATTCATTGGAATACTACCGAATTTATCCAACATGTGGATGAAGATATCTATCAGACACTAAAATATTCCAACAGAAATTTACATGGTGTTTACAGAACTTATCCAACAAATTTCCAGATATTTTCAACAATTTAAACGTTCCCATTTACCATAAATGCTGCACAGATACGGTTCCATTGTTATGCGACACATACATATCATTATCACAGAATTTCCATGCATAAAGGATACAGACAAGTTCATTAGGTTCAAACCACAGATGAGTTAATAGTGGACCAAGGTCAGAAAATACATTAACTTGGCGCTGACCAACTAATAGATTACATAACATAAACAACACTAACAGTCTAAAGCAGCCCTGTACCCCTGCACCCGTGGTATATTTTTCTGGCACCCTCCGTAACCACATATAATTGAGCCGATTTTTAATATTAATTCAAATTGTAAGACAAGAGACATTTTTAAACGTCTGAGTACTGTTAAATATTTTCGAAAAATTTTATTATTATTATTATTGTTCATTATTATTATTATTATTATTATTATTATTAGAGCAGCCGTGG